GGTCTGAAGGAGGAGGGTGCTAGGGGTTTGGGTTCCTTGGCCTCAGAGGAAAGAAGGGACTGAGGACATGGACTTCAGGGTCCTAGGGAAGAAGAGGGCTGGGGGATGCCCTCTCGGGGCCCAGGGGAGGGGGAGGCAGGGGCCCAGACTTCTGGGTCCCTGACACCTCCTGCTCCCCCAGGTGAATGTGTCTGTTCCAAGGGGTTTTCCTTTCCACTCATCGGAGATTCAGAGAGATGAGCTGGTAAGAGGAGGAATATTGTGGGTACTTAGGGGAAGAGGTCAGAGGTCAGTGGCTAGGCTGTGACTCCCAAAGCCACACAGGGCCCTGGTGAGCCTCCAAGATGACCCCGGCCCCATCTCCTCTCCCTGCAGGCACCAGCTGGAACAGGCATGTCCCGAGAGGCTGTGTCTGGTCTGCTGATCATGGGAGCGGGTGGTGGCTCCCTGATCATCCTCTCCATGCTGCTCTTGCGCAGGAAGAAACCCTACGGGGCTATCAGCCATGGAGTGGTGGAGGTGAGAGGCAAAGAGACCTGGAATGGGGAGGACTTCCAGAGCCTGGGAGTAGAGTGGCTGTGAGGTCTGCGGTCAGGCCCCTGTGGCCCACTCTGCCTCCCCTGCCCCTGTTGCAGGTGGACCCCATGCTGACCCTGGAGGAGCAGCAGCTGCGTGAACTGCAGCGTCACGGCTATGAGAACCCCACCTACCGCTTCCTGGAGGAACGACCCTGAACCAGCCCCCTTCACCCCTTTGGCTGAGCCCAGACCTTCCCTCTTCCTGGAGCCCCAGAACCCCAGCTCCCAGCCTGGGAGAGGGGTCTTGAAAAAGTTCATTTCACACCCTTTGTGAGGGGGCTGGAAATTCTTATTTCCCCTGTCCAATTCCAAATTTAATCCCTAAGAAATCCCCAGGTATTCCCAGCTGCCTCCCTGCTTGGGACCTCCTCACTTTAATTTATTTTGTACATTTATGTATTGTTCCTTAGGGTGGCCACCAGTTGGTCCCACTGTCTGTTGTTCCCTGGAATTCACCCTCCCACGTGTCCCCCACTAATATCCCAATAAAGTCCTCTTCCCCACCAGGCCATCCTCCGTCTCTGTGGGGGAATCAGGGTGTAATCAGCTCTGGACATTGGTGTGCAAGCCCGCCCAGACCTCCTTCACCTCTTTAAACTGTTGGAGAGATCTTTAAATCTGGGCGGGGCCTTGGGAAGGGGCGGGGTCCAGAGATCTAGGCTAGGCTCCCACCCAGGAGCTTTCCGTGGTACTGAATGGGCAGCCACTTCTAAGCCTGTATCAGCTGGGTTCCAGGGTGGACTCCAAGGAGGCTGGGCTCTAGCAAGTTTCCCCTGCCTCCCGCTCACCCTCATACACAGTCACATACAACATCCACCCCCAACCTATGAACTTGATGAGGGACAGGGAATCTTGAACTGCTCTTCCTATTCTTTTTTTTTTTTTTTTTTTTTGCGGTATGCGGGCCTCTCACTGTTGTGGCCTCTCCCATTGCGGAGCACAGGCTCCGGACGCGCAGGCCCAGCAGCCATGGCTCATGGGCCCAGCTGCTCCAGGGCATGTGGAATCTTCCCGGATCGGGCCACGAACCCGTGTCCCCTGCATCAGCAGGCGGACTCTCAACCACTGCGCCACCAGGGAAGCCCATTCTTGAATCTTAAGCCCTTCTGGGGGAGGTGATAAGAATCCCCTTGGAGTGTGGAAATCCAACCATGTGTCCCAGAGAGGGTTATGTGATGTCTGCAAGTGCATCGCATTTTGTGGCATGTCAGAGTTGTCCCTCTACATATACTGTTACCTGTCTCAAGAGGGTTGTTATGAGGATTAAAAGGAGTGCTATTTGTTGGGACATTAGAATTGTGCCTGGCATTTCGCAAGTACTTGTTGAATAAATTCTAAAATGACATGGCAGCAAACATTCATACGGCCCCCTGTGCCAGGAACTGCTCCAAGGCTTTCACGCACTGGCACACTTAATCGTTATTTCTACCCCATGAAGTAGGTACTATGCCTATTCTCATTTATAGATTAGGAAATGGAGGCAAAGAGAAGTTATGTCACATTCCCAAGGTCACCATCCAGGAAGGGATGAAGCTAGGAATCCAACCCAGGAAACCTGGCTCCAGTGCCCATACTCTAGGCCGTTTTGCTACCCTCCTGCCTAATAATTCATGGCTGTCCCATATGGCGTTTGGGTTGCTCACTGCAAAATTTTAAGTGATACCATTCATCTCCTAGACATTGTAGATTTGCATTTTTACCACAACTTCCCAGCAGATAGCAGTAGTGTGCCATGTTCTAATATCAGGAGAGCACAATTTTCTGACAGATGGCTAAGGGAGGGAGCACGTATTTTTAAATCTTCCAACGGACCGATGAGCTCACAGTGATGAGCTCTACATAATATATACATGAATTACAGGTCATGTATATTAAATACAGACGTGGTAGGTATTGGGAGGAAGATGCCTACATGATGCAAGTTGGATACAATGCCACAGCTTTATTAAGAACCCAGTTTGCAACATCATTCTGATACCGGCTTTACCATCAGGTATACTCAGACCATTCTAGTAGAAATCTATAACTAGCACCACAAGCAGGGGAAGAACTGCCTTTGTATTTTCACAGCCAAGGGTGGTTAACAGGCTAACAATAGGTAAGGAGCTCCAAGCAGGTGGGATAGGAAATGAAAGGCCATTTTGCTCAATACGCTCAGTGCATGATTCCCTAATAATATTTGCATTTTAATGGCAATACTTAGAGTAATTAGTTCAAAAACACTGTTTTTATTGAAATTCCAGCAGGAAAAATAACTTTACTATTGCTCATTTGATGCTCTTGTGCCCCTAAACCACTCTTCTTTTCCCACTGAATACGATTTAATTCTTCTTTTAGTAAAGCAAAGTTTCCTAGAGACTTGTTATCACGTTAGTGGTGTGTGTGTGTGTGTGTGTGCGCGCGCTGATACATGTCGGGAAACACATCTTATATGTCAACAGAATCTAAGATGCCATCAAAAATAAGAAATACCGGGCTTCCCTGGTGGCACAGTGGTTGAGAGTCCACCTGCCGATGCAGGGAACACGGGTTCATGCCCCGGTCCAGGAAGATCCCACATGCCGCGGAGCGGCTGGGCTCGTGAACCATGGCCGGTGAGCCTGCGCATCCGGAGCCTGTGCTCCGCAACGGGAGAGGCCACAGCAGTGAGAGGCCCGCGTACCGCAAAAAAAAAAAAAAAGAAGAAGAAATACCATTATTTTATGTACCACAAGGAAAACTACGCAGACATTAAACTATGCCACCTGATTGTAAGATGAATTCCAATTAAGTTCTTCCTAGAATTAATGAAATACAACATACTATTATGAATTTTCCGTGGGTCAGCTGCCCCTATGTGAGTACACACAGAAGAGCACACTCATGCTGGTCCGAGGCAGCTGACGTGGGAGACTTGTGCTGGCACCACCAGTAACTCCACCTCCCAATATTCTTGTTCTAGTGCAGTACCTTCCTCCCCACTGATTCTGGGCTTGGCCACATGGCTGACTTTGACCAATGGGGTATCAGCAGGCACGATGCAAGCAGGGGCTTTTTCTCTTGGAATATTCCCTCTTGGAGCTCCTGCGTGAGGAGATCCTCCTACCCTCCTGGAGGGACCACAGGGAGAGGGATGCTCGGCTCACTCTAGAAGTTCCAGCCATCTCAGCTGAGCTATCAGACACGTGAGTGCTGTTGTCTAGGCCAATCGGGCCTCCAGCTGACTGCAGCCACGTGTGAGACCAAAGCAAGATAGCAGAACTGCCCAGCTCAGCCCAGCCCAGATCGCAGAATCATGAACAAAATAAGTGGTGCTGGACTTCCCTGGTGGTGCAGTGGTTAAGAATCCGCCTGCCAATGCAGGGGACACGGGTTTGAGCCCTGGTCCAGGAAGATCCCACAGGCCGCGAAGCAACTAAGCCCATGCGCCACAACTACTGAGCTTGCGCTCTAGAGCCCACGAGCCACAACTACTGAAGCCCGGGTGCCACAACTACGAAAGCTTGCATGCCTAGAGCCTGTGCTCCGCAACAAAGAGAAGCCACCGCAAAGAAGCCCGCGCACCACAATGAAGAGTAGCCCCCACTCGCCACAACTAGAGAAGGACTGCGCTCAGCAACGAAGACCCTATGCAGCCAAAGATAAACAAAATAAATTTAGCAAAAAACAAAAGTGGTGGTTGTTTTAAGCCTTAAGTTTTGGGGTAGAGACACTGGCCTATGCCCTGAAGTGTGCTTGGTTTGTTGTCCGTGAGAGGCTCCAAGCAGTGGGGGCTACCGTGCGTCAGAGGGCTTTCTGGAGTGACGAGACTGGGACGGAGGACAGAGCAGAGGCTGTGGGACAGAGGTACAAGGGGGCATTGTGGAGGTCTTCCGTCTTTCGTTTGGGTTTCTCCGGAAGCAGAGGCTTAGGCAAGGATTTGAGGACAGGATTACCTGCAAGGAGTGGAGAACCTTGATAGGGGAGCAGGAAGGGACCCAGAAAAGGGGAAGCTGCCGAGAGAGGGTACGTTCTCAAGCCAGAGCCATGGTGGAGAGCCGGAGTTTCGTTCCACTGGGAGCTTGGAGAGCCCGTGCGGAACACACACTTCCCAGTTATCCCCACGGAGGCAGGGGACCTGGAGTATTTACATACCGTCTCCCTTCAGCCAGTCACTGGTTGAGAGCTGCTGGGGTGGGAAGAGGCACGATCCTCCTGGCATGGAAGTCTTGCCACACTCATATCCAGGGCAAAGCGGGCACCAGTGGTCTGAGAATGCCCACAGGCAGAGTCACGTGCCGGCCCTGGCAGTTAGACCACCAGGTGTGGACAGGGTGAGGGGGACAGGATATGGACTTGGCACCCGCCATGTCTGCTACAACCCCCCACCCAGACACATCCACCCAAACACGGCTCCTCAGCCGCTTCCCTGCACAATGATTAGAGATTAGACAGTAACGGTTCTAGCCCAAACTGAGTTTAATCAAGAGTTTCAGATAGGGGAGGGATTCACTAGAAATACTGAGGTCTGGGTCAGGGGCCTGGTTGTGTTCTGACTTAAAGCAGTAGGACCTAGGGGACTATGATCGAGAGTCCTTCCTATGTCTCAGGGTTAAGGACCTGAAGGGGGTGGGTCCTGGGGAGGTCAGGGGTCATCTTAGGAGCTCTACTAGGATGGTACTGGAAGCTCTTTTGGCGTACCCCAAGTACCATATAGGGGAGTTACATCTGGACCCCAAAAGATCCTGGTGGGGAAAGGGTTGGGGGTCCAGTGTGTTTCACAGAAACAATCAAGGGGCCTCGATTTCACAGAAATCATCAAGGGGGCTCCTTGTGGGTGGAGGAAGGGTATCACACCACCCCAAATATTGGGGACTGTTTACCCACCAACAGCCATTTTGGGGTTTTAATGTAAGACCCCAATGGCAGGACATTATGCACATACATTATCACGGATTTGCAACATTAGCATACGCTGGCTGTCCCACAGGACGGTGGGGACTGGAAAATCAGTCCAGGTTCTGGGTTTGAGTCCTAAGAGGACAGGCCTGGGGGTGCCACACGGCTCCTCTTCAGTAGCTGCCGGAGCTGTGGACAAGACAAGACGGGGGAGAAGCTCGAGAGGTTGCAAGGAGAACAGGCACACCCTGTTGGGGTGTGAAGTTGGGGGTCAGAGAGAAGTGAGTAGGGTCAGTTGGGTTTGAAGGTCAGAGGTTCTGAGTCAAGATGCGGGGCTGGGGGTGAAGGCTCGTTCACACAATGAATCAAGGCTCCTGAGCAAAGGTGTTGCTGGCTGGGCGTTCCCACCTTGGGATTAGCATTGAGGACTGGGAGTCAAAGGGGGAGAAGCAAGGGGCCAGAGTCACATTTGGGGGTCAGAAGTCCCACTCTGAGGTCAGGACTAAAAGTCAGGGGGCTGGAGGTCATGCTTGGGGATCAGAGGTCACACCTTGAGGTCAGGATACAGGGTTGAAAGTAGAGGTCAGGAGGAGTCACCATTATCAGGCAAGGGAGCAAACACTGAGGTCCAGTGTCTTTTTTTTTTTTTTTTTTTGGCCGTGCCACATGGCATGTGAGATCTTAAGTTCCCCAACCGGGGATGGAACCCATGCCCACCACAGTGGAAGCGTGGAGTCTTAACCGCTGGACCGCCAGGGAAGTCCCTCAAGGTCACATTTTGAAGTCAGGGTTGGATAAGGGTCAAGGTCACCTTCTGAGATTACAAGTCACCCTCTACAGTCAGGAATGTTGGGGTCAGGGGTGCACCCTGCAGTCAGGGCGGGCTCAGTGCTCACCCCCTCAGGGCCCAGCCCGGGCCGTAGCAGGTGGACAGGCTGCTCGTTCTCCAGGTTGCGCAATGTTGGATCCGCCCCAGCTGCCAGCAGGCGCCGCACAATGGCCTCCTGGGCCGGCCCAGGGGGCAGGGCGGCCGCCATGTGGAGGGCTGTGTTCCCATGGGCCTGGGGACGGTGAGGGGGGGCCTGCTGAAGACGCAGGCTCAGCTGGCCTGGGCCCTCGACGGCGCACTTCATATTCCGTCACACCCAGGTCCCACATGTCCCTCCTCACATCCCCCAGAAGCCCCCTCCAGGGCCACATTCCACACACCCCTCTAGGCCCTACATGTGCCCCGTCCACGTCCCACACAGCAGCCCCTCCCCAGACACAGCCCATGGGACTCCCAACATCCCACTGCCCGCTCTCTGCCACGTCTCACCCAATCTGCACATTCCAGCCTAGGCCCCTACCTTCATGTTGACAAAGGCCCGCAGGTCTCCCCGTGGCAGCGCCAGCAGCAGCTGAACCAGGGTCGGGTTGGCAGCCTGCACAGCCAAGTGCAGAACTGTCTTGTTGCTCTTGATCTCCTGTGAGGAGGGGAACGACAGAGGTCAGGCCAGTCCTCACACCCAAGCCTCCACCCATGGAACCCAAGAGCCTTTAGACACCCTGTCTCTCTTTTTCAAGCACCCAGGAGTGCGTTATACAGTTGTACGTGCTGTGCACTCTACAGGAATACCAGATTTAAGGGGGTGCCGTTCAGATCACACACATCACCGAACGGTACATTTATTAAGACAATTTTCCAGCCCAAGTATCTTTGAGAAAAAGATTTCTTTTCTATTCCTCCAAAGGAGCTCTCTGGACTAGCAGCTGCCCTGGCCAGCCCACATTCTATTAAACACAGTAAAATGCGCCCACATCCCACATGGACTGTATTTTATCTATAAAGATGGGAACTGAGCAGCATTAATCAGTGGCCTATCTAAGCCTGTACCTACTTCCATACTGAACTGTTCTCTCTTTTCTTTTTTTTTTTTTTTTTTTTTTGCGGTACATGGGCCTCTCACTGTTGTGGCCTCTCCCGTTGCGGGGCACAGGCTCCGGACACGCAGGCTCAGCGGCCATGGCTCACAGGCCCAGCCGCTCCGCGGCACATGGGATCCTCCCGGACCGGGGCACGAACCCATGTCCCCTGCATCGGCAGGCGGACCCTCAACCACTGCGCCACCAGGGAAGCCCCTCTCTTCATATTTTGAAGCAAGTAAGGACATTTTCCACAATGAAACTTTACTATGTGCCTTTAAAGAATTTGTAATGATAATAAACATTAAAAATTGTGTGTTTAGACATAGAAAATAAACTTATGGTTACCAAAGGGGAAAGGGATGGGGGAGGATAAATTAGGAGTTTGGGATTAGCAGATACAAACTACTACATGTAAAACAGATAAACAACAAGGTCTTACTGTATAGCACAGGGAACTAGATTCAATATCCTGTAATAATCCATAATGGAAAAGAATATGAAAAAGAATATGTGTATATGTGTACAACTGAATCACTCTGCTGTACACCAGAAACTAACACAACACTGTAAATCAACTATTCTGCAATTTTAAAAAGAATTCTGGGTTTATATAGGGCAAAACAACCTAGCTGGCTCTATCAAAAAAATTATGAAGAGAAAACTCTAAAGGAGGGGAACCTCTAAATTAAGAGCTTAAAAGGACGTATCACTGCAATGTGTGGGCTTTATTTGAATCCTAGTTTTTTTTCGTTTTTTTTTTTAAATGAAAAAAATAAATGTATGTCACTTTAGAGCCAAATAAAAATTTGAACACAGGATATTGATATTATGAGACTGTTAATTTTTTTAAAGGTGGAATAAAGGTACTGAGGTTAACAAGAGTTCTTGTCTTCTAAAGACAAATATTTATGGGTAAAACTATAAGCTTGGATTTGCTTAAAAATAATACAGGAGAAGTGGATGGGAAAGGACTGGCTATGAGTTGCTGGTTATTTATGTTGGCTACATGGAGTTCATTATACTATTTTCTGTACTTTATCTATGTTCAAAGTTCTTGAACTAAAATGTAAAAATCCAAAACAATGAGTAGATGTTTAATTCTCTCAGCCAGCCTTTGAAGGAGCCACTGTCAGGAAGGAGGAGACTATACGTATTCACAGCTGGATTCTGGGGTCAGGCCACCTAGGCTCAAATCCCCTCTCTGACACTCACAAGGCAAAGTCCTTGAGCCTCAGTTTCCTTATCAGTGAAAGAGAGAAAGTAATAATAGTATACACATCAAAGTGCGTTTGTGAGGATTCAATTAGCTAATCCATGAAACAGTGTTTGATGAATAGTAAGTGCTTGGTAAATACAAGTTAAGATCAGTAATATTATTCCCAGTTGACAACTGGCGCACAGAGAAGTGAAGTCACGTGTTCAAGGTCACACAGCTGGGAAGAGGCAAGTCAGAATTTGTTTCGAGCCCCTGGATATCCAGGCGCCCCCATCCCGTGTGCCCTCCTGGAGGCCAGCTGCCCACTGCCCAGCTCACCTGGCTGGTATGATCAGCACCCATGTGCAGCAACATCTTGACGCAAGCCAGCCTGTCTTGGGCCTGGGTACTCAGTACTGGGGGATATAGGTCGGGGGGGTGCATAGCAACGTTGAGGGCCAGGATGGCTGTGTGGAGAGGGGTGAGGCCTGCAGAGTAGAGACAGTGAAGACTCTACATCTGGAGCACCGACCCCACCCAGCCCCACCAGCCCCACCCACCCTGCCCACCACCCAACTTACCCTCGAAGTCTCTGGCTTCGATGTCAACTCGAACCCCTGAGTTAATCACAGCCTGGGAGGAGGAGGAGGTAGAGAGCTGGATTAGGGTCTCCCCAGGCCTCCTAGCCCTGAAAGCCAGGATCTAGGCAATCAGTCCATCCCATTCATCCCACCTGCCAGGTGAACATACCGAGAGAACTCTTGGGAGCCCATATGTAGCGGCCACGTGTAAGACAGAGCGCCCTTGATGGTCAGTGGCGTTGGGTTCCGCTCCCAGGTTCAGTAGATCCTCCACAATCAGGGGCTGGTTGGCAGCAGCAGCCACCAGAAGAGGGGTCTGCAGGAGTCAGGAAAGGTCAGTCTGGGCCCCCAGCCCCCTCCCCTCTGAAAACCAGGAATCCAGGCCTCCAGACCCTCTGCCCTCAGATCCAGGAGTCCAGGCCCTCAGCCCTCACCTTGCCCTTATGCTCACGAATGTCCAGATGTCTGTACGCTTGGAGCATCTCAGCTGCGGCGTATGCGGCCCAGCGCAACCCTCGAGCCGCAAACAGGTGCAGGAGCCTGAGGATAGGTGGAAGGAAGCAATGAGCACAGCACCCCAGCTGAGCAGGAGAGCCTGCAGACTCCATTCCCCTATACTCACGTGTCTCCCTCCTCATCCTGGGCCAGCAGCTTTTGTGGCCCCAAAGCCAGCATGTGAGCACGGGCAGCGTCCAGGGATGGTCCGTTGACCACAGGAGGCAACTGTGGGGGTCCTGAAGGGAGTCCAGAACCTCTCCAGGATCCTGCCTGTGGCAGGGGAGGTTCTGCATAGGGTCGAGTATCCAGGGGGTCCTGAAGGGTACAGGTGATGGGGAGAGCCAGTCAGCTGAGAATTCCCTCTTTCTACCACACACACATACACATACAGAGTGCCAGGCAGAGTGGCTGGGCGTCCCATCTGCGCCAAGTGACCTTGGACCTTTGGGCCTCAGTTTTGCCCATCTGAGGAATGGGATCCTAATCCAACCCCAGACATCTCAGAATGCTGCATAAGGGCAACTGGGAATCTTAGGAGCCCTTCAGCACCCACTTCCCATTCTGTATCTCACCTCCATCCCCAGGGGAAATGAACACGGCCGCCCTGGGTCCGAGTGTGAGTAGAAGTCAGGAGTCAGGAAACCTTCAGCAGCAGAAGCAGGGTAAGAGTAGGGCCTGTCCGTGTAGGCAGCATGCGTGTTGGGGTCCCAGTCTGGAAAGCCCATGGGGGGCGCCAGGCTGCCAAGTCCAGAACCCACAGTCTCCTGGTGTGCTGGGAAGTGAGTATGGCCTGCATGTGAGAGGAGGAGCAGAGGCAGGCCCGGTTACCAGAGTTAGGGAAGTCACAGCCCAGACAGGACCTGTGTGAGGGCCTGGAGTCCCCAAGGTACTGAAAGCTAGTACTTCTGGGGCACCAAGGGGCTGGAAGCTTGGACTTATGGGACCTAAATGCCTGGGACACTGAGGGGTTGAGGGCCTAGATTCCAGGCTGGGAGCCTGGGCCCCTGAAGGACTATGTGCATAGACTACTGGGCTCCAGAGAATCTGGCTCTACTCTGCGGGTCTCAGCAAGAATGAGGGTCTAACTCCTAAGTTCCTGAAAGTTCTAAGAGTTGGGATGTTTGAGTCCCTGAGGAAAGCTGGGGCTAGGAGCTGAGGGAACCAGGTGAGTTTCCAGACTTACCAGCTTCACCCTCATTCACAGGTGGGGTCAGGGGCTGGGCCAGGGGAGCCAGGAACTGTCCCTGTAGAGGCATAAGCAAAGAGAAACAAGGGTGAATTTACCTGGCAGATTCCTCAGCATCCATTCCCCACCCACAGGGCATCTAAGTCAGGACTACGTCTCTCATCAGCCCCGAGGGCCCAGCAAGGCAGCAAGTCCTTGCCCAACAGGACATGGCCTCGCGGGAGTTGTAGTTTACAGCGCTTCCTGGGCCTCACCTGTAGCCCACCAGCGTCAGGCTGCTGCTGGCGGCGCCTTTGTTCTTCTAGGAGCTTCTTCACCGTCTGTGATGGGCAGTGGCTGCGCTCATTCCGGCTCACTGCGGGGTGAGGAGGGAGGGAAGTTATCAGGGGTCCTTACGTCACCCAAGTGCGCCGGGGAGTGGATCTGAGCGCCCTCTTCGCCCTCCCGCGCGGAAAAACTGGCACACTGATGCCGCCTGAGAACTCCAAAGCCAATCTAAGATTTCGGGTGCGGCGCCGCCTCCGCGGTTTCCTTCCTTTTGCTCCGCACTTTCCCCTCTGACCCAACTTTCCACCAGCGTCGTGGAAACTGAGGAAGGAGGTGGAGGGCGCCCTCTGCAGCCCCCCTCCCTCTGCCTAACACTTCCGTGAAAAATCCCACCCCACCCCCAGATCTCCCAGTTCTGAGGGATTCGGGGCGTCGCCGGGCATCACTCCCCAGAGACGCACATCCAGGTTCCCAATATCTCTCTGCCCTAGAAGCTGCCCTGATACTTTTTCCTCGGGATACCAGGCATCCGAGTCCCCAGCCCCTCTCCCTGAGGAGCCACGAAGTCACTAGCCCCCTAGCTCATTAGGAATCCAAAGGTTCAGACCTCGCCCCCCTCTTCAGACCCAGAAGTCCAAGCCCCACCTCACGGGAGTCTGGGAGACTCGCATACCCTTCCTTAGGACCCAGGAGTCCGGGCCCTCAGCCTACTCCCCTCTAGGACCTGGTAATCCCAGTTTCCAGACTCCTTGTTCGCACGACGCAAGAAGGCCGGGCCCTCAGCCCTCACCCTTCCGAGCCCCGCTCGAGCATAGGAAGGGTTAAGCGCCGGAGGGCGGACTCGGAAACCGCCCAGACGCGACGCACTGACGTCACGTCGCTCACGCAAGGGAATCTTCCATCTCCTTCTTCCTCTCCGCCCGGCGACCCAGGTGTCCCGCTCCGAGACGCGATGCGTGGCCAAGCGTGGCGCTCGTGGAATCCCCGCACAAGGGAAATTCCTGCTCAGCCCGGGGACCCGGGCCGGTTGGCGACTCGGGAAATCCCAGGGTGGGGCAGGGTCACGGCCAGAGTGCATTCCTGCGGCCAAGCTCCGGACCTTGCCCACCCAGACCTTGGCTGATTTCAAACAACGCCCCCAAGGACTCGATCCAGCCTCTTTTAATACAGCATGGAGTCCGGGTCCCCAGTCCCCTCCTCCCAGGACCCAGGCAGGAGTCGGGGCTCCCAGCGCTTTCACCCCCGGGACCTAGGATTCAGGATCAACAGTCCTTTACTCCACCCCACGCTCCCACCGCCCCGGGACTCAAGAGTCCAGAATCCCAGCCGCTCCGGGATCACGACCCAGGAGTCTGGACCCTCCGCCCCCTCCAAACACCGGGTACCCTCACTCTCAGCTTGAGGCTTCACCCCTCACTCTTTTTTTTTTTTTTTTTTTTTTGCGGTACGCGGGCCTCTCACTGTTGTGGCCTCTCCCGTTGCGGAGCACAGGCTCCGGACGCGCAGGCTCAGCGGCCATGGCTCACGGGCCCAGCCGCTCCGCGGCATGTGGGATCTTCCCGTACCGGGAAGAATCCGTGTCCCCTGCATCGGCAGGCGGACTCTCAATCACTGCGCCACCAGGGAAGCCCACACCCCTCACTCTTGATGCTCCAGCTCCGTCCCTCAGAGCCTCAAGAGTCCGTCCCCCAGCCCCTCTCTTAGGGGCCGAGCGTGCCTCACCTTCCCGCCCCTCCATTACCTCGGGGATTCCGTTGTGCGGATTGTGGGGCCCCAGGGCCCCGGCCTCGGCGCTGCGCCAGCCTCGCTGTTTCCCCGCGGAGCCGCCGCCGGGTCCCCGATCTTGGGTCGGGTCCCCCCGCGACTTTTTAAACTGAGGTTCTGGCACCGCCCAGTCGTGGGGCGGGCCCCGCCCACAAGCCCGGGAGTCCCCGCGTTGCGCTCGAGCAAACTTGGTGTCTAAATGGGCGGGGCTGACTTTAAGAGCCCGATTCCTAAGTCTCCCCGGAAACAGTGATTGGGAACCCCGTGTTTGGTCTGAGGGAGAAGGGGCCTGAGGTAGCGGACCCCTGAAAGAGGAGGGAACTGGGGACCTGGACTTTTGTCCAGTGGGGTGTTGGAGGCCTTGACTCCCAGGCCCTGGGCTGGCCGAGGGGCGGGGGGACGCTGCCAGTATTATTGGGTCCTGAGAGAGAAGGGGGCTGGGGTTCTGAACTCCCTGGTCTCGAGGGAAGAAAGGTCTGTAGGTAAGAGTGATATAGGTGAACTCAAATTTACCCCCTTCCACACATCACCTTTCTCAGAGGCCAGTTCTCATTATTCATTCATCAGTAAAAATAATTACTGCAAGGGAGGTACTTTGCTGGGTGCTGTGGTATAGCTGTGAACTAAGCAGGCAGGAATTCCCAACCCTCAAGCCAACTGACATTCCAGTGGGAGGCTCATTCTCAGTTCCCATCTTGGTGACCATGTAAATCATATTTCTCCCCTGCCCTCAAGACTCTATGCTCTCCTGGTTCTCCTCCCTCACTTGCTGCTCCTTCCGTTTTACTGGCTGTTTCCTCCTCTTCACCCATTCTTCGTGTTGGGAGGAGGTGTTGCTCCTCTGTCTGTACTCACTTCCTTGATGATCTCATCCAGTCTCATGGCTTTAAATACCATCCATAAGCCAGCAATCCCCAAATTTACATCTCCAGACCAGACTTACCGCCTGAACTCAAAGAGGCAGCTGTGGTCATTCAGCTTCTCCACAGGGTGATCTATCAGGCATTTCCAACCCAGTTTGCCCAAACCTTGGCACTCTCCCCCCTAAGCCTGCTTCCCCTCTTTCTCCATCCTGTCAAAGGATGCTCTGTCTTCTCAGTTGCTTAGGCCAGAAGCTTTGGTCATCCTGGACCCCTCTCTCTCATGCACACTCATATCCACTCCATCAGCAAGTTTTGTTGGCTCTATCTTCAAAATCTTTCCAGGATCTCCCCAGTGCCCACACCCTGGTCCACCTGTCATGTCCCACCTGTACGATCACAGCAGCCTCCCTGATCTCTCTGACCCTCCCCCTAGTTTGTCCCTAAAGGCTGTCAGAGAGATCCATCACCTCTCCCCCTCCCACACACACACAGGAAGCAGGTGGCCTTGCCACCAGCAGAGTGACATCCGCTATTGCTGCCTCTCTACTCCCCATTGTTCCTCAGGACTTCTCTGGACCAAAGCCCTTTGACAGACCTCTTCCAGCCCCCAGCCCACCATGGTTCCTGCAGGCAACATCCCGTTCCTGCTTTTGCTCCCAGGTGAAGCCAGTGGTTATGGGGGGTGTTAGGCAGAGCTTTGTGAAAGGAGTGGCTTGGGGTGGCATCAGAAGGGAGGGTTGCTGAGGATGGGTCCTTCTCCCAGTGCCCTTGCCCTTCCAGAGAGAGACTTCTGGGCCTGGTTCTTTGGGGAGGGAAGCTGAGTTTGGATGGCTGCTGTTCGTCCCCTTCTCACCGCTGGGTGAGATTTCCCGTGAGGTGAGATTTCTGACTTCCTGTCTCCCTCCGTGTCTCTGGGTGCTTCCCTCCCATTTGGCCCCTCTTTCTTATTTGACCTCTCCCGAGTGGAGGCTACTTCTCAGGACATCACCTTTCCCTGCACCCTGTTTTGAGAACCACCTCTCCCCACTGATCTACCTTCCCTCTCCTTCCTCAGTGGCTGCAGCTCAGACGACCCCAGGTGAGAAATCAACACCCTGTCCCCTTTGCAGCACCGCTTCAGGTCCTACTTCCATCCCTAAAGTGTGGCCTGTGGGTCCTGGATCTCACCTCACATCCCCGAATCAGAGCCCCCCAGAGGATCTGCAGCCCTCTCTACGTCCCCATCTCACCATCCTCATCACCAAACTGAAGGCCCAGGGACTCGGCCGTCCGCCAGCCTGTCTTCAGGAGTACTTACTATGCCCAGAGTACAGTCCTGGGAGCCCTGGGACACCCCCCAGCCTCTCTCTGGATCTCCCTCTCCCCTTTCATTCCCCAGGGAATCTGGGACACCCACCTCCAAAGGGACTTCCTCTGACCCATATGCCCAAAGCCCAGGCCCAAGTGTCTGGAACCCCCCTCAGCTGCCTTCTATCTTGGCTCCCACCCCTTCAGGTTCCTGTTCTGGATGTGGGCCCCTCTCCCTGCCACTCCTGGCAGGCCTCGTGGCTGCAGATGCGGTCGTGTCACTGCTAATCGTGGTGGTGTTGTTTGTGTGTGTGCGCCCACGCAGCAGGCCCACCCAAGGTGAGGGCAGGGACAGAGCTGGGCCTGAAGAGGCATGGTGTCCCTAGGGAGGGGGTCCCCAGGGCGGGTGCCCCCGGGCAAGCCCTTGAGGTTCTGGGGAAACCCTGGGGGCGGTGCTTAGGGGAACTCCTGAGGAAACCCCTGAGGCAGGGGGTCCCCAAGGAAGTGGAGATGTGGGTGGAAGGTGGGTGGTCAGGCCTCGTGCTTTCTCTCCCCCACCCCCAGAAGATGGCAAAATCTGCATCAACATGCCTGGCAGGGGCTGACTCCCCAGTAACTGCGACATAGGACTTCTGACCCTGTCATCCTGGATTGTGTGTGGCGGCACAGGAAATCCAGCCCTCTTCTGGGCTGGAATAAAGCAATTGAAATACTTCTTGTTCTAATTCTTTCTCAGACAACCCAGGTTCCCCAAAGGCTCCCTCTCATTTAGCTGTTTCTGGGTCCTTGGTCCACCTAGAACCCCGCATATCCCCATCCCGTCAGCCCAGGGATCTGGAATAACTCAACATTGTTTGCGTGCTCCATGTTTATTTGGGGGCAGTAGTGGGGAGAGGTCTGATGTCTCATTGTGGACACTCTGTGGATCCGTATCTTGGTGGGAGTAGGACTAGAGTGCTGGGCAGGCATCAGGAATGACTGGATCCAGGCATCAGGTTGCTGACTGCCCTGGTCTGGGCTCATTTTTAATACGGCCTCTGTGTGTTGAGGCTGCTGTAGACATCTGTCCTCTGGCCTTGGAGCTCCTAAAGGGATGGACAGGGTGTGGACCATCAGTGAAGGGGGTCCACCAAATAAACTGAAAATAAAATCGAGCCTTCTCCCAGTGGCCTGCAAGGCCCCTGGCAGCTTCTTCAACCTTGTAGCCATGAAAGAGATCTGGACTTTATTCAAGTGCCTTCAATGTTCCCCCTTCTCCTCTGCCTCATTGTTATGCCCTAGCCGAGGGGCCTTTGTGTGTGCTGTTCACTCTGCCTGAAACATTGGTCCCCTAGATATTCCCATGGGTAGTTCCTTCTCACCCTTCAAGTCTCAGCTCACGTCACTTTTTCATAGAAGCATTTCTTGATTTCCCCATCTATAGTTTCTTCCTCACACACTCGAGTCACTGTCACATCAATCTACTTTATTTCCTTCACGTTGCCTCCCCAAATGATCTTATTTGTTAATCTGCTTCAAGTCTGTCTCCCCAGGACTTCCCTGGTGGCGCAGTGGTTAGGAATCCGCCTGCCAATGCAGGGGACATGGGTTCGAGCCCTGGTCCAGGAAGATACCACATGCCACGGAGCAACTAAGCCCATGAGCCACAACTACTGAGTCTGTGCTCTAGAGCCCGCGAGCCACAACTACTGAGCCCACGTGCCACAACTACTGAAGCCTGCACGCCTAGAGCCCGTGCTCTGCAACAAGAGAAGCCACCGCAATGAGAAATCCGCGCACCGCAAAAAAGAGTAGCCCCCGCTCGCCGCAACTAGAGAAAGCCTGCGCGCAGCAACAAAGACCCAACGCAGCCAAAGATAAAAATTAATTAATTAATTAAAAAAAAAAAGTCTGTCTCCCCAACTAGGATGTAAGCTCTGCTGCTGTGTCTCCAGCATCTAGCATATATCGGCCCTCAACAAATTCCACCAAAGGAATGAATAAACTGGGGCTTTGCCCTAAAATTTCACTGTCCCCCACCTCCCCCAGTAACTGGAAAGCCCCTTCAGTCCTCTGGACCTCACAGAGCCAAACTTGAGATTCTTATACTTTACAAAGAGACTTTTTATCCACAAGTGAGGCAAAGCAAAGTTGGATGCAGACAAGTAAAACAGATTTCACAGAGCAGGGTTCACGATGGGGATGGGGTGAGGTTCTATGGCCCCAAGGTGCAGGCCTCAGATAGAATCCCTGAAATCATACACAAATGCCCAGTCTGGAGTTCATCTTTCTGGAGAGGGTCTGTTTGGCTTCCATTAGATTCTCAGAGGAGGTCATGACCCCCTAAAGGGTTAAGAATGGCATGGACAGGAGGTGGGAGATGGAAAGATGACATTTGCATTATGGTTCTTAAGGGTTTCAAGGATACTTGCACTGCCTCTAGATTATATGCACAATTTTGCATCTTTTGTGTGGATTTTTCTGAAGAGTCTCTGGCTTTCGTCAGTTTCTCAAAGGCTGCAGGGTCCCTCCCCCACAAATTCAGAGCTCCTCTCTTAAGAGTTACCAAACTAGGGTTGAATTATATCCTCTGCCCTTATGAGGACTTCTCTGAGAAATCAGCCTGTCCTGGGCTGGGCTTTTGGAGAACGATTGAGAGCCTGCCTTCTGGCTGAGACAAACTACCCCTGTATTTCCCCTGCACGCATTTTAAGCTGAGCAGAAGGTGGTGATGGATCATTGAAAGCAGTTTTGGATGTTTTGTCTTCAAGCGTTTGAGGAGCTGCTGAGAAAGTGGGCTTTAGGGCCTAGGTTCTGCAGGGGCTGGGGGAGGGGTATTTGGGACAAGACACCCTCAGGGCAGGAGTGAGGTGTGAGAAAGAAAAGCTGGTTTCCTCACCTGATAAGGCGACTCTGTCTCAGTGATGTGCTGTTTCCGGGTCACTGCTTGGGGGTGGGGAACAGCAGAGTTCAGAGACAGACGGGGTGAGAATCGGGACCATTTGGTTGCAAAAGCCGCCCCTCCATCACCTCCTTTTGGGTGGACGTGACTTGGGAGCTCACCCCTCCCTGCCAGGGAAGTCCTCAGAGGGTCCCAGGCCATCCCCGGCCAGCTCCACTCACCCTCCGTGGGCCCTCGCCCCCGAGGGACCAGCCGACCCAGGGAGTACACGGCCAGGGCGATGAGGAGGGTGAGCACCAGGTCCCCCAGCACGATCCCCGCCAGCATGCCGGGGCTCACCGAGGAGCAGCTGCAGTCTGGGAACGTAAGTGGCACAGGAGTCAGAGACCAGTGGGAGCTGGGAATTGGGAGGTGGTGTCAGTCATCAGGGGGTGGTGTGGAGAGACTGGGGAAGGGACAGAGGTTGGGTGGTCTTTGGGAGGTAGGGAGGGGGATCGCAAGGTCTAGGCCTACCTGCGTGGGCCTGAACGAGGCTGAGACCTGAGGAGAGAAAAAGAAGGTAAACTGAGACACATGACTATGACTGGGGGTTGGGCAGAGAAGCTGCGTAGGGTGGGTCCTAACAGGCAGCAGGCACGGGTGGAGAGCCACGTCTGATGGGACCTGCGGGCCGGCATCACGGCCACCGGACTGTGTTACTTCTACATCGACGTGTCCTGTTGCAACACCCTCAGAATCCCCTCCCTCTGCTTCTCCCAGAGGCCAGATCTTGTGGGGCACAGGGTCTGGGAGAGACCCATAGGGTTTTGGGCCCCAGGGATCTGCTCCGGTATCATCCCCCACCCTTTGGTTCTCTCTTTCCGCCCTGTTCCCTTTCCTGCCCAGAACTGAGCCCAGGAGCTGCCGAAGCCCCCAACTCACCACCCACAGTCAGGAGAGACAGGAGCCTGTTGGAAGGTCCAAGGCCCCCCATGATGCAGGCGACGCTGCTGGACACCACAGTCCAAGGCGGGTGGGATGTGACGTAGTGTCCAACCAAGGAAAGGAGGAAGTCTGAGGTGGGTGGTGGCAGGAGGGAGGAGGGGACGATGGGGGAGGAGGAACGGAGACGGATACCACCAGAGAGTCAGGCCCAGACACCCCAGAGGGCCATGCTGCAGTCCCCAGTGGCTGGAACGAAGGGCAAAAGATACATGTGTCAACTCGACCTCCATCCCTAGGCAGGGGTCAGACATCATTATAACAGGAGGGTCTGTGGCTGACTGTGCTTGAAGCTATCTCTGCCTCTTCCTGGCTGGACAATCTTGAACAAGTCACTCAACCTCTCTGGGCCTCAGTTTCCTCATCTGTAAAATGAGGAGTAAAATAGTACCTACTTTATACTATTGTTGTGGGGAATCAAATGAATTAATATTTCTAGAACAGGGTCTGACCCTTGTCAGCTTTTTATAAGAACCAGTTATAATTACTTGACAATCAGAACCGTGTGATGTTCATAGGATATTAAAAGAGAGCCATCAGGATACGGGTACTAACGACGTGCAGGCACCCCGTCCCAAGTGTTCATGCATTTAACCCCCAAGAACACTCTTCTGAGGGAGATGCTCTGATCCCCATTTTACAGAAAGATAAAGACACTTGCCCAAGGTGACACAGAACATAAAGGCAGAAATGGAACCCAGGACCCAAAGACAAATATTTGACCCTTAGAAAGAAAAAAGAACCAAGATGGAGGATAGGGAAGGAGAAAGTAGCGGGAAGGCAGAGAAAGAGGGAGAGGAATAGGCAGTGACACAGATGCACACAGCACAGATGCAGGACTGGGGCTTTGGGGTGAGGCAGGTGGGGGAAATGTGGTAACACTGGGCCAGGTTAGGCTGCTCCCACCAAATGAGGAAGTGGCTGGAAGCGAGCACTGAGGGAGGCCACCCAGGAGGTGACAAGGACTTCTAGCCCCAGCAAGAGATGAGCTGGGGCTGGGGAAGGAGGAACCTGAGGTTAGGGCCAGCAGCAGGAAGCCCCCCTCCCCTGTCCAGGCGGAACACCCACAGCTCCCCAGGGGGCCGGGCTCAGGAGAAAAAAGGGGAAACTGGATGCTGGTCATGGGACAGACGCTGAGTGGCCTGTTGCGGGGGCGTAGTATTCGAGTCTGGAAGAGGGCCAGGGCCGAGTCCCAGGCAGCACTGGCTGCTAACATCGCCGCTGCCCAGGCCTGGCCGAGTTCCGCCGCAGAAGAATCAACACCCCACCATCACCACCACCACCACCAGGTCTGGAGGGAGTAGGTCCTGCAGGCCCTACTGGCACACCAGGCATCTCAAGGTGGCTGAAGCCCAGCAAGCCGGGGGGCGGGGGGGGGGGGGGGGGGGGGGCAGTCAGAGACCAGAGGAAGCTCTGAGCCGGGAGGGCTTTGATATGACTCGGGTGTTCCCAGGGCTCCCTCTGGCTGGGGGTGGGGAGCAGACTGTGGGGGGCAGGGGCAGGAGCTGGGGGCCAGGCTGCTGCAATGATCCAGTTTCTCGTGAGGATTTTGTGAGGTCTGTTAGAATCAGGCTTCCTGGCACCCTGTATATGCTCGATGAATGTTAATCTTTATCAACATCATTGCTGATACTGTTATTAGTACTTCAAGTCTTCAGTTCTGGGCTCGCCTTGAGAAAAATCCTCCCTCTGCCTCTCAGCCTCAGCCTCCTGATCTGATTCTTCCAACTGCAGCCAGGCCCAGGCTGTCCCCAGTCTACCAGCCCCACACCCAGGCAGCGCCTAGTCAGAACAGATGTGGCCACAGGGCTGGATCAGAGTCCTGGGGCTCCCCTTTGGTGATGAGATGTGGGGAAGTCGGAGGTGTCCCAAGGGAGCCAACTGGGGTGGTGGTAGATATTTGTGGGACGTGGGATAGAGGCTCTTTACCAACCCAAAGTGAAGTATTTCAATATTTTAGCGACAGGTACAACTTTACTGGTGCAGACCCCAATACGCCGGCCTGGGCTGGTCTCCACTCCCTGGTCTCCATTCCACCGGGAAAAGGAACGGGCTGAGATGGAGGGCAGCATCCTCCTCCCAGAGCCAGACTCCAGGAAGCAGAGTTGCCCCCCTGGCCACCAGATCTGTAAGTGTCTCAGTCTCTCCTGGCAGCAGCGCAAAAGTTGGGGAAGGTCAAAGCTGACTTTCCCAGAAGGCAGGCTGTGTGCTGAGTCTGTGACAAGCTTGCCTCTGTGGGAGCTACAGTCCCTCCCCACTCTCCCTGCTTCCACTTTTGCCCCCTACAGTCCATCTTCCCCACACCAGCCAGAGGAAGCTTTCTGAAAAGTGAGACAAATAACCCACTTTTTTAAATGGCCGAAAGATTGGAACAGACACGTCACAAAACAAGAGATGTGACTGGCCGAATAACATGTGAAAAAACACTCAACATCATGTCATTAGGGAGATACAAACTAAAACCACAATGAAATACACACCTACTAAAATGACAAAAAAAAATTTTTTTAAGTATTTATTTGACTTCACCCGGTCTCAGCTGTGGCATGCAGGATCTAGGTCCCTGATCAGGGATCAAACCTGGGCCGCCTGCCTTGGGAGTGTGGAGTCCCAAACACTGGACCACCAGGGAAGTCCCTAGAATGACAATAATTAAAAACACGGACCCTACCAAGTGTCAGCAAAGACGTGGAGCAATTGGAAATGTAAAATAGAACCTTGGAAAAGAGTTTGATAGTTTCTTATAAATTTAAATAGTCACCTACGCATAGATCCAGCAATTCTGCAAAAGAAGGCATTTACCCGAGAGAAATAAAAACATATGTTCATATAAAGACCTGCCCATCTCTGTGTCCTCCCCTCGGGCCTCTTTTCACCTCACTTCCCCTACTCAAGTTACACTGGTCTTCTTGCTGTTTCTTGAATAAGTCAAGCTCATTCTCACCTCAGGGCCTTTGTACCTGCTGTTCCCCCTGTCTGTGATGCTTTTCCTGAAGTCTTTGAATAATTGACCCTTTCTCATCCTCCAGGTGTCAACCCAAATGCTACACCCTCACAGAGGCCTCTCCTGGTCACTACTGCTCAAGTCACCTCCTACCAATTTCATTTTCTTCCTGTATTTGTCATGCCTGAAATTCTCTGACTTACGTATTCCTATTTCTACGGTCCGCCACTTCCTCTAGAATGGAAACTCCATAAGAAGAGAAATCTTTCTGTCTTGTTCACCGTTGTGTCGCCAGCACACATAGCAGATGCTCAATAAATATTCTTTGGCTCTTGGCCCTAATGACCACCAGTGGTAACAGGTTGCATTAAACATGGCTCCTCGGGCTTCCCTGGTGGCACAGTGGTTGAGAGTCCGCCTGCCAATGCAGGGGACACAGGTTCGTGCCCCGGTCCGGGAGGATCCCACATGCCGCGGAGTGGCTGGGCCCGTGAGCCATGGCCACTGGGCCTGCGTGTCCGGAGCCTGTGCTCCGCAACGGGAGAGGCCACAACAGTGAGAGGCCCACGTACCGCAAAAAAAAAAGACTGGGCCTTCCCTGGTAGCCCAGTGGGTAGGACTCCGTGCCATGCTCCCAGTGCAGGGTCCCGGGTTCGATCCCTGGTCAGCGAACTAGATCCCACATGCATGCTGCAACTAAGAAGTCCACGTGCTGCAACTAAGACCCAGCACAGCCAACATAAATAAATAAATATTAAAAAAACCAAAAAAGATCAAAAACCCAACTACCACTTCTGAGGTGTCAGGAGCAAAAGCAGGATACTGCACGTGGTCCCTGCACACAGCACCACCAAGTGGGTTGGCCAACCGCCTAAGCCAACCCTCCGGCCCGGACCCATGAACCGACCCCTACCCTCACCCAATTTAAGTTACCAGCTCACTCCCCTTCAGGAAGCAAGCAAGGGGAACTGTTACTTGTTTTTGCTCCTTCGTGCTGCAGCACGAGTCCCAGTAGAGCCTTGAATTTCTCATCTGCCTGAATTTCTCATCTGGCCTCTTATCAATTTCTATTGATTAAGGAGTCCAAGAACCCTGGTTGGTTAGATAGATAGATAGATAGATAGATAGGGATATATAATATAGATATAGATATATATCCTGGGAAAGGGCAAAGATTGGCTCAACACAAATAATCTGCCCACCTCAAAACTGGGGTGAGGGGCGAAATCTGTAAGAAAATGGCAGGATACATGAGGACACTGAAATGGAGCAGGAGGGAGGAACAGTCCCTAGAAGCAGCGTGGAGGGGATGCTGTTGGTGTCTCACCCATATTCCCTCAGCATTTACCATTTCCAAGCACACAACCTGGCTTCTGAGTGCCTGCACTGTGGCTATCTTCTTGAGGGCTCTTTCTGGCTGTTGCAACCCACTCCGCCCAAGCTGGAAAGGGCCAGGGAGTTAACGCTCCTGGGAGCAGCTCTCTACCAATAACTGACGGGAGTTGGTAGATAAATACCCCAGCTCCCTCAAGACTTGGATGAACAACTCTAGACTGTCCTACAGTCTTCCAGGATTCCCCAGCAAGATTAAGCTCCAATTGCTCTAGATAACACACCCTTCATTGGCTCATCCTTCCCTGTCTCCCTTCCCCACTCCCTGTTGGTGTTCTCTGAACTTCAGGTAAATGGCTTGCACTTGAATCCTCTTTCAGCGTCAGCTTCTGGGGGAACCTACACTAAGACAAAGGGAGTTTAATTTCCAGAAGGAAAGAGGGGCACCGGGTCATCAGTACAATGGATGCCCATGACATCTCTTATCCCTACCCCTTTCTCAAAAGACTTGCTGCTTCCACATTTGAAAGTAGGAATTATCCATGCCCACCCCCTGGCACCAGTTATTAAACCAACGTTACACTTGACCCAAACATAGCAGTCAGGGTTCTTCGTTACATACCATAGAAACCAAGGCAACAGAAAAGGAGGTGTGTTCAATGATGTTAAGGAAACCGCTGAATCTCTAGGAGGGCCAGAGAAGCACTCCCGGGGCTACACAAATCCTAATGCCCACACAGAATTTTCTGCTAAGACTTCTGATGTTCACATCAGAATCGATTTTACAGGTTGCCTCCTTCTCACTCTCTTTCAAATCGAATCATGATGTGAGTACCAAAATACTTGCAGATGAAATATGATGTTTGGGATTTGCTACATAACAAGACAGAAGAGGGGAATGAGTGGTAAAGGATGGGCCATGGTTGGCCGGTTGTTGGGAGTAGATAGATTATTGAGGACTCCTCATACTTTTCTGTCTACTTTTCTGTCTTTTCAAAATTTTCCAAATTAAAAAAACAATTTTCAAACATGGGTGCATTTGGTTGGCAGAGTATGGAAAACATGCCCACACCACAGCTGCAAGAAAGGGTGGGAAAGTGGTCTCTGATTTCTAGACTGGGGAGGCCAAATTCATAAGGTAGGAAATTCCCAAAATGTAGAGCTGATGTTCAGAAAGCCCTGGACCTCTGGATAGAAAGCATGAGAATTGTCCAAAATACCAGGGGAACCAATCCATCTGGCCTGCCTTACCCTTCCTAGATAAGATAATAGTTTGATTCTTTGGTCAAAATAAAATGGAAAACCACAATGAGATACCACTACACATCTATTAGAATGGCAAACAACAACAACAACACTGACAATATCTAGAGCTGCCAAAGAGGTGAACAACTAGAACTCTCATACACTGCCGATGGGAGTGCAAAATAGTACAGACCCTTTAGAAAACAGTTCGGCTGTTTCTTAGAAGGTTAAACATATTCTTACCATATGACCCAACAATCTCATTCCTAGGTGGTTTTTTGTTTTGTTTTGTTATGTTTGTGGCTGCACTGGGTCTTCTTGCTGTGCGCGGGCTTTCTCTAGTTGTGGTGAATGGGGGCTACTCTTTGTTGCAGTGCGCTGGCTTCTCATTGCGGTGGTTTCTCTTGTTACAGAGCATGGGCTCTAGGTGCGCGGGCTTCAGTAGCTGTAGCAAGTAGGCTCAGTAGTTGTGGCTCACGGGCTCTAGAGTGCAGGCTCAGCTCAGCGCACGGGCTTAGTTGCTCCATGGCATGTGGGATCTTCCCGGACCAGGGCTCGAACCCGTGTCCCCTGCGTTGGCAGGCAGATTCTTAACCACTGCACTACCAGGGAAGCCCTCATTCCTAGGTTTTTACCCCAGAGAACTGAAAACTTAAGTGCACATAAAAACCAGTATGCTATATGAATAGTGGCTTTCGTCATAATTGCCCAAAACTAGAAACAACCCAAGTGTTCGTCAACAGATGAATGGATAAACAAACTGTGATACTTCCATACAACGGAATACTATTCGGCAATTAAAGGGAATAAGCTACTAATACACACAACAGCACAGACAAATCTGAAATGCATCATGTTAAGTGAAAGAAGCCGGACTCAAAAGTCTACATACACGATTCCATTCATATGACATTCTGGAAAAGGTAAACTATAGGGACAGAAATCAGATCAGTGCCTGCCAAGGGCTGGAAGTAGAGGGAGAGGTTGACCACAAAGGGAAATCCGGGAGTGATAGAATTCTATATTTTCATCGTGGTGACAATTACATGGCTGTATGCATTCTTCAAACCCATAGAAAAATACACTAAAAAGGGTGATTTTTACTCTATGTAAATTCTAGCTGAATAAAAAAAATTGTTTTTGTTTTTAATGAAATGACAGCTGTAAGCACCAAAGAAACTGGTAAAGAGGTTTCACAATCTCTTTATTTCCTATCAGTTATTTCCTATCAGTGGATGACTACCCAGATGTTTCCCACTCTGGCGTAAGGGAAAGTGCCAGCAAGCACTGTTTGGCTAGAAGGTGAGTGAGCCTGAATTCTAGTGATCAGCAAACATTGTTTTCTCCCCTTCTTCTATTGAAATAGCATTTGGAATTGGGCATCTGGTCCCCTGGCCAAGACTATGTTTCTCAGTCTCTTTGGAGCCAGGTGAGGCCTTGTAACTGTCTTCTGGCCCATGGAATGTGGGAAGAAACAAAATGGGCAACTTCTGTCTTTTTGTTTGTTTGTTTTGTTTTCAGTTTGTTTTTTGGCCACGTTGTGTGGCATTCGAGATCTTAGTTCTCCAACCAGGAATTGAACCCGTGCCCCTTGCATTGGGAGCACGGAATCTTAACCACTGGACCGCCAGGGAAGTGGCCCGGTTGTGTTTCTGAAGGCAAAAGTGTGCCCTGCCCGTCTCTGCCCTTCCTCTTGGCTGGAGTGTGGCCCTGACACTGGCAGTGGGCACCCATCTTAGACCACAATGGCCAAGTTTTATTCATAAAATGAAGGCCTTTTAAATATAATTAAAGCAATACTTGATAGATTTATCAACTGTGTTTTACCTGTATCATAAACGCAGTCATTACCAATGAATTAGAACTCTGCAAGCTGATCTGAAGGGATTTTAACTGAGAAAAGCAAGATGCAGAGAACTGAATCTAGTGCGATTCCAAACAATGACCAAAAAGAATCCCTTATAAATATATGTATACATGTTTGCATATTTGAGTGATGGTGGAGTAAACTATGTAAGGATACACCTGGGCCGCTAACGCTGGTAATACCAGTGACCTGAATCAGGATAGGAGATGGGGGAGGGTAATCACAAAACAGGGTTGAAAGGAAAGGAACTGGGACATCCCTCGTGACCCAGAGGTTAAGACTTCGCCTTCCAACGCAGTGGGTGCGCGTTCGATCCCTCATCAGGGAGCTAAGATCTCACATGCCTCGTGGCCAAAAAACCAAAACATAAAACAGAAGCAATATTGTAACAAATTTAATAAAGACTTTAAAAATGGTCCACATCAAAAAAAAATCTAAAAAAAAAGTGAAGGAACTGTATGAGAACAATGTGGGTATAACATGATGCCATTTACATAAAATGATATAAGTAAAATTGTGTATATCTGCATAGAAAGAAGTATGAATGTGTAGTCAAATGAATGCCAACTGTGGTATCTCTGGGCAGTGGGATTTAGATTATTTATTTTTTAAAATTAATTTATTTGTTTTTATTTTTGGCTGTGTTGGGTCTTTGTTGCTGTGCATGGGCTTTCTCTAGTTGCGGCGAGTGGGGGCTACTCTTTGTTGCAGTGCGCGGGCTTCTTATTGCTGTGGCTTCTCTTGTTGTGGAGTGTGGGCTCTAGGCATGCGGGCTCGGTAGTTGTGGCTCACAGGTTCTAGAACGCAGAATCAGTAGTTGTGGCGCACGGGCTTAGTTGCTCTGCGGCATGTGGGATCTTCCCGAACCAGGGCTCGAACCCATGTCCCCTGCATTGGTAGGTGGATTCTTAACCACTGCGCCACCAGGGAAGCCCTATATTTTCTTACTTTTAAAAATTTGATTTTTTTTATGGGGAGTATTTTTAATCTATGTAATTGGGGGAAAAAGATATTTCAATATCAGAAAACACAACAAACAAATAAATTAGATTTTGCAGAAGAAAAAAATACAGGACTTCTTCTGCCAGGAGTGGTGTTCTAAAGAAATCAGAAACCACCCTCCATTGGAGAACAGATAAAAATGCAGGATGAAGTCTATGGGAAAAAAATTTACTAAAAGCAGCAAAGCACTAGTAAGAGGCTAAGGAAACAGTACTGAAAACTCAGAATAAAACAAGAGAGGAGTTCAAAACTCAAATGCCTTTGGGCCAAATGCCTTCATTTGTCCCAAAGGCATTTTCCAACTCAGAAGACAGTCTGAGAGTAGAGGAGCAAAAGTAAAGGCCCGGATCCACCCAGACTGGAGAGTCTGAACCTCAGCTCTTCATTTTAAGCTGAGACCTGAAGGCCATCACACTCAAGGTAAGAATGAGCCCGGAGTCACCTAACTTTCATGTGAACTTACAGTTTATCCTTATACCCCCTTCACTATGCTATAGCTACACGAATTTTCAAGAAAACAAAACACAAGTTTGAAGTTTTTATCAGGAAACTGGAAATTATAAAAAGTGAGAGAGGTTTTTTTTTTCGGTATTCGAATACAAAAAAGAGAAATACAAAAGATAGGATGAAAGAGAATTTCTAACTTATTTCATTGTAGTCATAGAAGAATGGGGTAGAGGCAATATTTGAATAGATCATGACCAAGTTAGAATTATAGTAAGAAAGCAAGATTGGTTGAATATTAGAAAATCAATGTAAACCAGCACATTAACAGGTTAAGGGGGGAAGCATATGATTACCTCAACAGATGCCAAAAGTTTTTGATGAAATTCAACATTCTTTCAGAAAACTAGGAATAGAAGTGAATTTAAATATTTGATGAATAACTATATATAAAATAGACAACTAATAAGGACCTACTGTATAGCACAGGGAACTCTACTCAGTACTCTGTAATGACCTATATGAGAAAAGAATCTAAAACAGAGTGGATACACAAATATGTATAACTGATTTACTTGGCTGTACACCTGAAACTAATAGAGCATTTTAAATAAAATATACTCCAATAAAAAAGTTTTATAAAAATTTGATGAATAGCACTACCAAAACCGACAGCTAGCATCACTTATGGTTAAGTATTAAAACATTTAATGGTTAAATATTAAAAGTTTTCCTTCTGGGACTTCCCTGGTTGTCCAGTGGTTAAGACTTTGCCTTCCAATGAAGGGTGTGTGTGTTTGATCCCTGGTCAGGGAGCTAAGACCCCATATGCCTCAGGACCGAGAAACCAAAACATAAAACAGAAGCCACATTGTAACAAATTCAATAAAGACTTAAAAAATGGTCCACATCAAAAAAAAATCTAAAAAAAAATGTTTTCCTTCTAAGTTTGGAATAAGACAAAGAAAGATGCCTATTGTCATCACTTCTGTTCAATTTTGTCCTGGAGACCTTAACTCTGAAGTAAAGCAGGAAAATAAATAAAAGGTTATTGCCACCATTATTAATAGATTATATGATTCTGGCTAAAGAAAATTCAGAAGACTCTATAGACTAATTTATTAGAATTCATAACAGAATTTAGTGAGGTAACTGGATATAAAATCAACCTACAAAAATCAATTTTATTGCTATATACCAGCCATAAACCAAACAAAGGTGGAAAAAAGTAACACTTTACATTAGCATAAATGGCCAAGTAGCTAGTAATAAATCTAACAAACTATATGAAAAGCCTGTACAGGGAAACTCTGTAAAAGACTTTTAAAAATCTAGATAAATGGTTTGATATACCATGTTATTGGATTTGGATAGCAGTTTCCCCTGAATTTACCTATATATTCAATCCATTCATAATCTAGACTCTAAAAGCTTTTTTCTGTGGAACTTGCAGATGGATCCTAAATTTTACACTGAAATACAAAGAACCAATTATAACAAAGATACTCTTAGACAAGAACAAGATGAGAGGTCTCTCACCCTACCTGATATCAAGACTTATTGTAAAGCTGCTGAAGGAGTGAGTGGAAGTGGTTTAACCACTTTGGAAACAGTATGGCATTGTTTTTCCCAGTGACTCAGAACTTCTGCCCCTCTACCTGTATCCTGGGGAGACTAGTGGATGGACACCAGGAAGCCTGTGTAAACCTCTTCACAGCTGCGCTATTTGCAAAGCCCTTCAGGGGAACCAACACATACGCCCATCACAGGAGAATGGGTACGTATATTGTAGCCCATTCACACAATAATGATAATAATTATCCTGGATCCATAGAATAAACACAGTAGGTACTAATACTTGCTACAACATGGATTTATCTCACAAACAGAATGTTAAGTGAAAGAAAAAAAAGCCATATACAAAAGAGTACATGCAATATGGTCCTCATTTGCATAAAGTTTAAAAATAGTCCAGATTAGACTACAGTGTTTAGGAAGCACAGGTAGGGGGAAAAACTATTAAGAAAAGCAAGGAAGGGATTCTATCAAATCAAAATGGTGGTAACCTGTCAGAGAAGAGGAAGCTTTACGAATAAAAAAGGACAAAACATTTTCTAGACTGCACTGATGACCTCTTTTTTTTCTGTGGCGGTAGATGGTCGAGTGTTCACTCCATGATTCACTATGCCGTGCATTTGCTTTTTGTTTGGGGGTTTTGTGGGCTCTTTCGATAGGTGTTCTATATGTCACAATAAATAAAATTTAAAAGATCTAATAATGTTTGCTCGTTGTGAAAATTTTGAAAAACACAGCAAAATACAAAAAGAAAAAGAAACTTCACCTACATCTGAGAGACAACCTCATTACAATATTTTGTTATATTTCCATCCTGTCATTTTACTGGGTATATTTTTATATATTTCTGACCATATCATATATGCAAATTTGCATTCTGCCCATTTTTGCAACCAACTTGTATTAACCTGAAACAAGCAGCTATATTCCCTATGACTGCTCATTCATGACGTGACCTCACTGTTACCCTCGCTATTTGCCCTGGGAAGAAACCAAAGAGATGACCCTCAGAATAAATTAGACACCAAAGCTAAGATTTTATTTCTCTGTCCACCTATGCTTAGAAAGAGTGGTGGGCTGAGTCTCCATTTCCCTTTTCCCCTTCCCACTGCCTGGAGCATGGATGTGGTGGGAGCCACCTTGGACCACTCAGGCCGGGACGCTCCCCTAGGGATGGGAGAGCCATAGGTCAAAGCAGCCTGCATCTCGGATGCCATAAAGCCTCCATACTGACACCATGAAGCCCTGGACTGCTTATGCTTGGTCTACTGGTGAGAGAGAGTTAAAGTTCTCCTTTGTTTAAGCTATAGTTATATTGAGTTCTGTTACGGATTCATGTCCTACCTAACATAGACCCTACCTAAATGCTCATTATATGTGAGCATTTTCTCATGTTCCCAAAATCTCCTTAGAAGTATCAGTCTTGGGACTTCCCTGGTGGCGCAGTGGTTAAGAATCCACCTGCCAATGCAGGGGACACGGGTTCGAGCCCTGGTCTGGGAAGATCCCACATGCCACAGAGCAACTAAGCCTGTGCACCACACAACTGGACCTGTACTTTAGGGTCCACGAGCCACAACTACTGAGCCCGTGTGCCACAACTAATGAATCCCGCACTCCTAGAACCCATAATCTGCAATAAGAGAAGCCACTGCAATGAGAAGCCTGCGCACCGCAACGAAGAGTAGCCCCTGCTCACCGCAGCTAGAGAAATCCCACGGGCAGCAATGAAGGCCCAATGCAGCCAAAAATAAATAAATTAATTAATTAAAATTTTTAAAGTCTCTTAAAAAAAAAGAAGTATCATTCTTAATTGGTTCATAATATTGTGTCCTGTGAAGTTACTGAATTTTTCATTCACTCATGCATTCATCCATTTATTCCATCACATATTTGTTGAGTGCTTACTGGGCCCCTGGATGGGTGATGGGTATGCAACGGTGAATAAAACTGCCTTCCTGCAGCTTACATCCTAGTGGAAGAAGACAGGTGATACACAAGAAAACAAATAAATAAACAAGATAACCCTTCTCTGTGTTCAGATACAGCATGTTCCCAAATGTGTAGCAGAGACTAATTGCTCACTAAAACTGCCCCCTTTGCCCCTTTGCACACAGCTGGACCACATTTCCCATCCTCCCTTATAATCAGGTATGTGAGCCAATGAGCAAGTGGGCAGATGCTGTCTGACTTCCAGGTGTGATCCCCCAAACCTCCCACTTAGGATCCTCACCTCTTTTAACATTCACCAATGGAGAGGACTAAGTGCAGGTGCAGGGAAGCTAAAGGAGCCCAGAGGTGCCAGGTGGGAGGAGCCTGGGTCCCTAAGTGGCTCTGAGGAGCAGAGCTACCCCACCTGCTGTATCACACAACCCTGTGAAAGAAGATAAGTTGCATCAAGCCACTGAGATTTGGGGATTCTTTGGTTACAATTGCTAGTAATTTACCTTGCCTTATACACATGAAGAAAGGGCTCTAGGGCTTCCCTGGTGGCGCAGTGGTTGAGAGTCCGCCTGCCAATGCAGGGGACACGGGTTCGTGCCCCGGTCCGGGAAGATCCCACATACCGCAGAGCGGCTGGGCCCGTCTGAGCCATGGCCGCTGAGCCTGCGCGTCCGGAGCCTGTGCTCTGCAACGGGAGAGGCCACAACAGTGAGAGGCCCGCGTAGCACAAAAAAAAAAAAAAGAAAAGAAAGGGCTCTGGTCAACTGCAAAAATGGCTCCAATTTTTCACCCCTCCCTGGCTCCTTATCCTTTGCCGTCTGACTTCACAGCATCTTCCATCAAAGGGTGGAGTCTATTACCCCACCCCTTGAATCTGAGTAGGTCTTGGGCCGTGAGGTGGCCAATAGAATGAGAGAGAAGAAATGGCATGATAGTTGCCAACAACTGCTAAAGAACTGAAAATGAAGTCAGAAATAAGTAAATACATTCAGGAAAAAAATGCCTAGGAGGTACCCTCATACAGTTATCATGGACTCTAGCATGTTGACGAAAATTCCTGCAGCTCACCTAACTTCTTTCAAGCCAGCATTTCCCACATTTATTTTATCAAGGAGTCTTTATTCTCAAATACCAATTAACATCCCATGGATCTTTGTCAAATGCTAGTAGGACACAGTCAAATTATTTCCAATTAGTTTTTGTTCGTTTCGCTATTATTTTTTAAATGGTGTTATAAAAATCCTTGTAGTGAAATCTTTTCCACTTGCTGGATCCTTTCCAGGGGCTAAGTTCCTAGCAGAGTAAATGGTGAATTAACAGATATGCACATTCTCAGGCTTTGGACTCAGGCTGCCCAATCCTTCTCTGGGTCACTCCCATTCACATCCCAATCATAGTGAATGTGAACAGGGTCTTCCATTTCCCTGAACTCTCCTCACCAAAGGGAACCACATTTCAAACATCCTTGCTGATTTGACAGACAAAGGGATGCATCTCAGTATTTCAAGTGGCAAGTTATTTGAATATTACTGGGGATAAACTTGCCTTTCATCTTTTTTGGCTATTTGTATTTCTTCTTTGAATTGTCTTTTCATATTAATTACTCATCTTTCTTTTGGGTATTGGCTTTTCCTGTTAATTCCACATTAATTTATTATTATCTTTATTACATTAACCACTTTTCTATCATACCTGTTGCAAATATTTTTCTCTACTATTTATTTAACTTCAATTTTAGTCATGCCCTTTTTTTTTTTTTTTTTTTTTTTTTTTTTTGTGTTTTGCGGTCCTCTCACTGTTGTGGCCTCTCCTGTTGCGGAGCACAGGCTCCGGACGCGCAGGCTCAGCGGCCATGGCTCACGGGCCCAGCCGCTCCACGGCATGTGGGATCTTCCCGGACCGGGGCACGAACCCATGTCCCCTGCCTCAGCAGGCGGACTCTCAACCACTGCGCCACCAGGGAAGCCCTTAAATTTTTATTTATTTATTTATTTTTGGCTGTGCAGCACGGCATACGGGATCTTAGTTCCCCAACCAGGGATCACCAGGGATCGAACCCATGACCGCTGCAGTGGAAACACGGAGTCTTAACCACCGGACTGCCAGGGAAGTTCCTGTGATTTATTCTCTTAAAGTTCAGAAAGTCTTTTCCAACCCAGAGGTTATTAAATATTTATTTCATCTTCAAGATTTTTTTTTCAAGATTTTTATTGTGTAATTTTCTTCCCACATTTTCCTCTAGTCCATCTGGAATTTATTTTCATTTATCATGCAAGATGAGGCTCCAAATTGATATTTTCCCCCAAATGGCTGAGACATAAACCCAGCTGGTATGACATTATGTTTCTGTTCTATAATACATTCTTGCTTTCTTTACTCTGTCTTTGGCCAATCATTCTGGTACATTACCCAGGATGATTGCTCTTACACTGAAATCACACTTTATATTATATGAATTCCATGATTTTGCCTGTCTTTTCACCAGTGTATCCACAGCACCTAGAACAGAGCTTGGCACATGGCAGGATCTCAATAAATATCTGGTGAAAGAATAAATTAGTGAATGAATCAGTGAATGAGTGAGCAAATAAATGAATGCATACAATATGCCAGCCCTGATCTGGGCAGTGAGTGTACAGAGGAATAGGAAATAGTTTACTCAGTGTGTATCAGGTAGCCATTGCTGCATAACAAAATTCCCTACAACTAATGGCTTAAAACAGCAACCATGTTATTATTTGTTCACTGTCCTGTGTTTCAAGATTTTGAATAGATGCAGAGATGGTTTGTCTCTGTTCCACATGATGTCAGCTCTGGTTAGAACATCCAAGAAAGAAAAGAACATTCATTTGCGTGTCTGGTGCTTTGGAAAAAGTTCAAATGGCTAAGGGATAACTAGAACAGCTGAACTGGGGTCATGTATGAGGGGCACCAATTCTCGCTGTTACCTGGCTTCCTTAGGTCTCCACATGGCCTTTCCATGTGGTCTCCCCAACAAGGAGCTCAGAGCTCCTGAATACACAGAAGCAAAAACTGACAATCTTAAGGCTTAGCCAGGAACTGGCTGGGGGTGACTTCTGTCATATTCTATTGGTTAAAGCAAGTCACATGTCCAAGGCAGATTCAAGGGGAGAGGATTATATGAGTGTGAATAGGGAGGTATATCTCTTTGGGAATTTCAGCATAACTGACTTCCACAATCCATTAAACGGCTGCTTATTAGCCATTCACAAGGGTCAGGCAGAAAGCAGGTGCAATGGCAGGCCACACAGACACAGGCTCCTGAAATGCAGTGAATGTAGGGGCCCAAGCCATTGCTGGGCCCTGAGGCAGGTACCTCTCCCAGTCTGAGAAAGGAAGTGGCTTCCGATGGAGGTAACCCCAGACATGTGTATTAAAAATGAGAGCACAATCAGTTAAATGGAAGAGCATGTACTAAGGTTCGCAGGCGAGAAACCACTTAGAGATTGTCTTGGTGAATCCCTAAAGTCCAGAGGCAGAGAGATGAGGTTGGGGCCAAATCAGGGTCTGTATAATGTGGAAAGATGGGAGCCCTGAATGCCACTGTAAGAAAGTTAGCATTCATCTTGAAGAATAGTGATTCCCAATCAGCAACTGGGTATCAGAATTACCTGAGTTTAAGAGGGCAGACAGCAGAAGCAAGAAGAACTACAGTTTTGCAGCCCGTGGAAGGAAAACCACATTCACAGAAAGATAGACAAAATGAAAAGACAGAGGACTTTTTACCAGATGAAGGAACAAGGTAAAACCCCAGAAAAACAACTAAATAAAGTGGAGATAGGCAACCTTCCAGAAAAAGAATTCAGAATAATGATAGTGAAGATGATCAAGGACCTCAGAAAAAGAATGGAGGCAAAGATCAAGAAGATGCAAGAAATGTTTAACAAAGACCTAGAAGAATTAAAGAACAAACACCTAGAAGAATTAAAGAGCAAACAAACAGAGATGAACAATACAATAACTGAAATGAAAAATACATTAGAAGGAATCAATAGCAGAATAACTGAGGCAGAAGAACAGATAAGTGACCTGGAAGACAGAATGGTGGAATTCACTGCCATGGAACAGAATAAAAAAAAAAGAATGAAAAGAAATGAAGACAGCCTAAGAGACCTCTGGGACAACATTAAATGCAACAACATTCACATTATAGGGGTCCCAGAAGGAGAAGAGAGAGAGAAAGGACCTGAGAAAATATGTGAAGAGATTATAGTTGAAAACTTCCCTAACATGGGAAAGGAAATAGCCACCCAAGTCCAGGAAGCACAGAGAGTCCCAGGCAGGATAAACCCAAGGAGAAACACCCCGAGACACACAGTAATCAAATTGACAAAAATTAAAGACAAAGAAAAATTATTGAAAGCAACAGGGGAAAAACAACAAATAACATACAAGGGAACTCCCACAAGTTAACAGCTGATTTCTCAGCAGAAACTCTACAAGCCAGAAGGGAGTGGCATGATATATTTAAAGTGATGAAAGGGAAGAACCTACAACCAAGATTACTTTACCCGGTAAGGACCTCATTCAGATTTGATGGAGAAATCAAAAGCTTTACAGACAAGCAAAAGCTAAGAGAATTCAGCACCACCAAACCAGCTCTACAACAAATGCTAAAGGAACTTCTCTAAGTGGGAAACACAAGAGAAGAAAAGGACCTACAAAAACAAACCCATAACAATTAAAAATTGGTAATAGGAACATATGTATTGATGATTACCTTAAACGTGAATGGATTAAATGCTCCAACCAAAAGACACAGGCTCACTGAATGGATACAAAAACAAGACCCATATATATTCTGTCTACAAGAGACCCCCTTCAGACCTAGGGACACATACAGACTGAAAGTGAAGGGATGGAAAAAGATATTCCATGCAAATGGACATCAAAAGACAGCTGGAGTAGCAATACTCATAACAGATAAAATAGACTTTAAAATAAAGAATGTTACAAGAGACAAGGAAGGACACTACATAATGATCAAGGGATCAATCCAAGGAGAAAATATAACAATTATAAATATATATGCACCCAACATAAGAGCACCTCAATACATAAGGCAACTGCTAACAGCTATAAAAGAGGAAATCGACAGTAGCACAATAATAGTGGAGGACTTTAACACCTCACTTACACCAATGGACAGATCATCCAGACAGAAAATTAAAAAGGAAACACAAGCTTTAAATGACAAAATAAACCAGATAGATTTAATTGACATTTATAGGACATTCCATCCAAAAACAGCAGGTTACACTTTCTTCTCAAGTGCGCATGGAACATTCTCCAGGATAGATCACATCTTGGGTCACAAATCAAGCCTCGGTAAATTTAAGAAAATGGAAATCATATCAAGCATCTTTTCCAACCACAACACTATGAGATTAGAAATCAATTACAGGGAAAAAATGTAAAAAACACAAACACATGGAGGCTAAACAATATGTTACTAAATAACCAAGAGATCACTGAAGAAATCAAAGAGGAAATCAAAAAATACCTAGAGACAAATTACAATGAAAACACGACAATCCAAAACCTATGGGATGCAGGAAAAGCAGTTCTAAGAGGGAACTTTATAGCAATACAAGCCTACCTCAAGAAACAAGAAAAATCTCAAATAAATAATCTAACCTTACACCTAAAGGAACTAGAGAAAGAAGAACAAACAAAACCCAAAGTTAGTTGAAGGAAAGAAATCATAAAGATCAGAGCAGAAATAAATGAAATAGAAACAAAGAAAACAATAGCAAAGATCAATAAAACTAAAAGCTGGTTCTTTGAAAAGATAAACAAAATTGATAAACCATTAACCAGACTCATCAAGAAAAAGAGGGAGAGGACTCAAATTAATAAAATTAGAAATGAAAAAGGAGAAGTTACAATGACACTGCAGAAATACAAAGCATCCTAAGGGACTACTACAAGCAACTCTATGCCAATAAAATGGACAACCTGGAAGAAATGGACAAATTCTTAGAAAGGTATAATCTTCCAAGACTGAAGCAGGAAGAAATAGAAAATATGAACAGACCAATCACAAGTAATGAAATTGAAACTGTGATTAAAAGTCTTCCAACAAACAAAAGTCCAGGACCAGATGGCTTCACAGATGAATTCTATCAAACATTTAGAGAAGAGCTAACACCCATCCTTCTCAAATTCTTCCCAAAAATTGCAGAGGAAGGAACACTCCCAAACTCATTCTATGAGGCCACCATCACCCTGATACCAAAACCAGACAAAGATACTACAAAAAAAAAAGAAAATTACAGACCAATATCAGATGCAAAAATCCTCAACAAAATACTAGCAAACAGAATCCAACAACACATTAAAAGGATCATACACCATGATTAAGTGGGATTTATTCCAGGGATGCAAGGATTCTTCAATATATGCAAATCAATCAATGTGATACACCATATTAACAAACTGAAAATAAAAACCATATGATCATCTCAATAGATGCAGAAAAAGCTTTTGACAAAATTCAACACGTATTTATGATAAAAACTCTCCAGAAAGTGGGCACAGAAGGAACCTACCTCAACATAATAAAGGCCATATACGAGAAACCCACAGCAAACATCATTCTCAATGGTGAAAAAATGAAAGCATTTCCTTTAAGATCAGGAACAAGACAAGGATGTCCACTCTCACCACTATTATTCAACATAGTTTTGGAAGTCCTAGCCACGGCAATCAGAGAAGAAAAAGAAATAAAAGGAATACAAATTGGAAAAGAAGAAGTAAAACTGTCACTGTTTGCAGATGACATGATACTATACATAGAGAATCCTAAAGATACCACCAGAAAACTACTAGAGCTAATCAATGAATCTGGTAAAGTTGCAGGATACAAAATTAATGCACAGAAATCTCTTACATTCCTATACACTAACAATGAAAGATCAGAAAGAGAAATTAAGGAAACAATCCCATTCACTATTGCAACAAAAAGAATAAAATACCTAGGAATAAACCTACCTAAGGAGGTAAAAGACCTGTACTCAGAAAACTGTAAGACACTGATGAAAGAAATCAAAGTTGACACAAACAGGTGGAGAAATATACCATGTTCTTGGATCAGAAGAATCAATATTGTGAAAATGACTATACTACCCAAAACAATCTACAGATTCAATGCAATCCCTATCAAATTACCATTGGCATTTTTTACAGAACTAGAACAAAAAATCTTAAAATTTGTATGGAGACACAAAAGACCCCAAATAGCCAAAGTAGTCTTGAGGGAAAAAAATGGAGCTGGAGGAATCAGACTCCCTGACTTCAGACTATACTACCAATCTACAGTAATCAAGACAATATGGTACTGGCACAAAACAGAAATATAGGTCAATGGAACAGGATAGAAAGCCCAGAGATACCATGCATAGAAACTCATACCCCTATGGTCAACTAATCTATGACAAGGGAGGCAAGGATATACAATGTAGAAAAGACAGTCTCTTCAATAAGTGGTGCTGGGAAAACTGGACAGCTACATGTAAAAGAATGAAATTAGAACACTCCCTAACACCATACACAAAAATAAACTCAAAATTGATTAGAGACCTAAATGTAAGGCCGGACACTATAAAACTCTTAGAGGAAAATATAGGAAGAACGCTCTGACATAAATCACAGCAAGATTTTTTTTGATCCACCTCCTAGAGTAATGGAAATAAAAACAAAAATAAACAAATGGGACCTAATGAAACTAAAAAGCTTTTGCAAAGCAAAGGAAACTATAATCAAGACAAAAAGACAACCCTCAGAATGGGAGAAAATATTTGCAAAGAAATCAACAGACAAAGGATTAATCTCCAAAATATATAAAGAGCTCATGCAGCTCAATATTAAAAAAACAAGCAACCCAATCCAAAAATGGGTAGAAGACCTAAATAGACATTTCTCCAAAGAAGACATACAGATGGCCAAGAAGCACACGAAAAGCTGCTCAACATCACTAATTATTAGAGAAATGCAAATCAAAACTACAATGAGGTACCACCTCACACCAGTTAGAATGGGCATCATCAGAAAATCTACAAACAACAAATGCTGGAGAGGGTGTGGAGAAAAGGGAGCCCTCTTGCACTGTTGGTGGGAATGTAAATTGAGACAGCCCCTATGGAGGTGTCTTAAAAAACTAAAAATAGAATTACCATATGACCCAGCAATCCCACTACTGGGCATATACCCAGAGAAAACCATAATTCAAAAGGCACATGCACCCCAATGTTCATTGCAGTAGCCAGGTCATGGAAGCAACCTAAATGTCCATCGACAGACGAATGGATAAAGATGTGGTACATATATACAATGGAATATTACTCAGACATGAAAAGGAACAAAACTGGGTCATCTGTAGAGATGTGGATGGATCTAGAGACTGTCATACAGAGTGAGGTAAGTCAGAAAGAGAAAAACAAATATTGTATATTAACGCATATATGTGGAACCTAGAAAAATGGTACAGATGAACCGGTTTTCAGGGCAGAAATAGAGACCCAGATGTAGAGAACAAATGTATGGACACCAAGGAAAGTGGCGGGGGGGTGGTGGTGTGATGAATTGGGAGATCGGGATTGACATATCTACACTAATATGTATAAAATAGATAACTAATAAGAAAAAAAGAGAATTACCTGAGTTTAGATATTTTGAAGTGTCTACATAATATCTGGGAGGAGGGATGTCCAGTTGATAACCATTCTATACATCAAGAGAGGGTCTGGGCTGCAAACAGGGCTTGGAATCGTAGCCGTGTAGTTAGTCATCAAAGCCACCAGACTATAACAGAGAAGTTCATCTCAGGAGAATGTCTAGAGTCAAGACAGAAAAGGACTCCTATCAGTGCCTCAAATAACATTCTTTGTAGCAAGTTCCTCACATCAAAAGGTGGGATCTATGTAGCTTCATCTTGAATCTGGGTGGGTTTGTGACTGCAGAAGTGATGCTGTGGGATTTTTGAGGCCAAGTCATAAAAACAAACAAACAAACATACAGTTTCTGCCTGGATCTTTTGGAACACATGCTCTGGAAGAAGCCGGCCACCATGTAAGGTCACCATGCTGGAGTAGCCACGTGTAGTTGCTCTGGTCAACAGCCCACCGAGCTCTCAACCGACAGCCAGCAACATTGCCAGCAGTGTGAGTGAGCCACCTTGGACATCAGCCCCTAGAGTTCTCAAACGACCCCACCCCAGTCAACATCGGACTCCAGCCACAGCACAGACACCACACGAGAACAGCCCCACTGAGGTCTTTGTGAATTTCTTTTTTATTTTATTTTATTTTATTGATTTTTGGCTGCATTGGGTCTTCGTTGCTGTGTGCCGGCTTTCTCTAGTTGTGGCGAGCAGGGGCTACTCTTCGTTGCAGTGCACGGGTTTGTCATTGCAGTGACTTCTCTCGATGCGGAGCACAGGCTCTAGGCGCGTGGGCTCAGCAGTTGTGGCTCACAGGCTCTAGAGCGCAGGCTCGGTAGTTGTGGTGCATGGGCTCAGTTGCTCCGCAGCATGTAGGATCTTCCCGGACCAGGGCTCGAACCCTTGTCCCCTGCATTGGCAAGCGGATTCTTAACAGCTGCACCACCAGGGAAGTCCCTTTTTGAATTTCTGATCCATGAAGTTGGAAGAAAAAGAAAATGGTTGTTTTAAGCTGCTTAATTTGGGGATAATTTGTTATGCAGCAATAGATAACAAACATTGGAGTTGCAAACAACCCTAACCCTAATCCTACTGCAGCCAGACACGTAATGCAAATCAGTGAGCGAGGCCTGGCGTGGGACAACCAAGTGGGATCCCTGGTGCATGGAGGGCAACCCACGTTGTGCTGCTCTGGGCTGTATTTGCCCCGATCTCTTCCTTGCCCTCCCCTTTCTGCCTGCATCCCAGGCCACAGTTCCATCTCGCCTTCATCTGGATTCACCTGGGGTTCCGCCAGTGGAAAGCAGTGGCAGGAGCCTGGAGGGTAGGAGGAAGAGGCCAGAGCAATTCTCCCCTTCCACAGTAACTCCTCCCTCTCTCCCTGTTGTTGTGCCCCCTCCACAGTCCAGCCAGCCAGACAATCCCACTGGGGTTCCAGCTTCTATCAGGTGACTTTGGGCTCTGGTGACACCACCTCCTCCCTTTGTTCTTCCAGCCTGGAGCAGTGGTGGCTTCCCACTGCTGTTAATTTCCGATGGCTTCACTGGCTCTTGTTTGGCCCCTCAGCACCTCCATCTGCTGCATAACCACCCCGATGTGTTAACGTCCCTCTGTTCTTTGTTTTCTGTATCCTCAGCAAGCTCTCACAGGTATAGCAGCTCCAGCCTACTGGTCCCAAGTTGGAAAGTAGGCTCTGTGTTGTCAGATATCCCAATGTGGCAGAAGCCAGAAATCAGGATTGTCATGGGGAACGTTTTGAGATTTCAAACACCATGGATGCCAACGGTCCTCTGATTTCAGAGTAGGTGGAGGAAGCTAGAGAGACTGAGGAGGAGCAGCTGTAGAAGTTCACATGCTGGGTCAGTGAAAAGACCTTTTTTAAGCACCTACTGTGTGCAGGCACTGTGGGAGGAGCTGAGGACAAAGTGGTGGGCTAGAGAGATGAGTTCCTGCCCCCGTGTGCAAGCATGATAAGACAAATGAAGAAGAACAGTGTGTGGTACGTGCCATGCTGAGAATGAAAGGTGGGTGACATTGTGTGAACATGGGTGCAGGGAGCCGGGCTTTAATGACACACGGCAGCATGGAGATGAGGACATCTAAGCTGAGGCCCGAAGGAAAAGAGAGAGCCAGTCCTACAAAGAACCGTGTTCTCAGAAGAGGGAATGGCCATCACCAAGTCCCCGAGGCAAGAAAGAGCTGGGAGTGTGAGCAACAGCGAGAAAGGCGGCAAGGCTGGGGCAGAAAAAGCGAAGGGCGAGCTGGGGGATGATGTGAAGGTGGGGAGGCTGCAGGGGCCACAGGAAGGAGTTTGGATTTTATTCTAAATGCAATAAGAAGTCACTGGAAGGTTTTAAGCAGGGAAGTAATGTGATCTGATTTATGTTTTTGGAGGAGCCCCAGAGCTGTGTGTGAGAACTACAAGTAGGGTACAAGATTAGATGCCAGGAAACCAGTTTGTAAGCAATTGCAGTGGTCCAGGTAGGACCGAATGATGCTCAGACCACTGTGCTAACAGTGAAGGGGTGAGAAGTAGGTGGGTTTGGGAGGGTACTGTGTCACAGAAACTGGGAGGGGAGTTTTCAGACAGGAATGGTCTGGAGGACTCGGTAAAATGCAGACTGCTGGGTCCCATCCCCAGAGACTCTGGTTCAGTAGGTCCAGGGCGACAGAGCATTTGCATTTCTAACAAGTTGTCATGTGATGCTGATGCTAACGCTAACGCCACTGGTCCAGAGATCACACTTGAAAACCACTGGTCTAGAACAACACTTTCTACTAGAAATGTAATGTGAATCACATAGGTGATTTTAAAATTTCTAGTAGCCACACTTAAAAAGTAAACAGGTGAAAGTACTTTTAATAGAATAGCTCTCTCGTGTACTTTATTATTAATATATCCCAAAACTATCGTTTCAACATGTTATCAATATTTTTTAAATTCTTGAGATATTTTACATTCTTCTTTTTGTACTGTCTTTGAAATCGCAGTGTGTATTTTATACTTACAGCACACATCTCAATTAGAACTAGTTAACCTCTCAAAAGCCACTTGTGTGGCTAGTGGCTACCCTACTGGACAGCATAGGACAGGTTCATTATTACAGGACCAGTGAGTTGAGGATGGAGAATTGCCTCTTGAGCTTAGCAACAAGGAAGAGGTTTAGCAATAGGCGCCAACATTTGTGAAATAGAGGGAGAGAGATGGAGGGGAGATCATGGAGACACTTCCTTCCTGAGGTTTGGCTGCGGTTTCATAATGGATGGATCAGGCCGACAACACTCAAACCCAACACTGAATATTAACATCACACAAAAAAAGAAACATCCAGGCAGTATTATGTGCCTCCTGATGGAAGGACTTGTCATCACCCACGAAGCATACTTACCCCTAAACTGAATCTGAATCCGACCCAGCCTCTAGATTTACCAGTTTGCAGGGCATACAGGGGACCGAAGAACATATTAAAGGACACCAAGAAGTGCAACCAGACTGTGAGATAGATGGGAGTGAGGGGGAACTGTCATTGAATAAGACTTAAAGAGGTACCAACAAAATGCAATGCACTATCCTGTTTGGATTCTGATTTGAACAAGCTAACAGTTAGGAGACATTTATAAGATGATCAGGGAAATTTGGTGATGGGTTGGATATTGGATAATATTATGGAATTATTCGTTTTTTAGGTGATAAAGGTGTTTTTTTTTAAAGAACCTTGTATTTTAGAGATACATACAGAAGTATTTATGGATGAAATCATATGATGTCTGGCATTTGCTTTAAACAAATTCAGCCAGGGAGGGAAGCAGAAAAAATAAAACAAGACTGGTCATATGTTGATAACTGTTGGATGGGTAGCTGGAAGATCATCGTACTATTCTATTTTTGTGCATGGTTGAACGTTACTATAGTAAGGTGGTTTTTTTAAAAAGGGGGTGTGGCTATAAAAGGAAATGAGAGAAAAGAAGGATTTTTTTTTTTCCTCTTAAGACTGGAGCACTGGGACTTCCCTGGTGGCGCAGTGGTCAGGAATCCGCCTGCCAATGCAGGGAACACGGGTTTGAGCCCTGGTCTGGGAAGACCCCACACGCCGCTGAGCAACTAAGCCCACGAGCCACAACTACTGAAGCCCGTGTGCCTAGAGCCCGTGCTCCCCAACAAGAGAAGCCACTGCAATGAGAAGCCCACGCACCGCAACGAAGAGTAGCCCCCGCTCGCCACAACTAGAGAAAGCCTGCAAAGACCCAACGCAGCCAAAAATAAATAAATACATAAATTAAAAAAAAAAAAAGACTGTAGCGCCAAGGAAATACTAGGGACAGTGGAGATGCAGGAGAGAGCCTCACGGCTGGTGAGCTGGTTCCAGGACACACACAGTGTGGGGCGAGGGGGTGGAGCGGGGGGGGCGGGGATCCCGTTCTTCCTTGAGTAATGGACTGCATACCCTCCACCGCTGCTTCAACTTCAGCTCCGCGTCTGTGGCTCCAGGGCCACCCACCAGCTAAGGTCCAGCGGGCGATACCGGCCACCCACGCCTGCGCAGCAATCCCTCCTTCCCGCGCGGGCCTCAGTCCCTACACCCCATAATCCCCCGCGCCGCTCTGGAGGCGCGTCCTCTGTCGGGGCGAGACCTCCGCTTCCAAGATTTGAGCAAGGTGAGGCAGAGGGTGTCGCGTGGCCTTCCGGGAAACGCAGTTCGCATGCTGACCCAAGCCACCGCTTAACCTGCCCTCAAGCCTACGCGCCCCACAATGCGCCGCGCGCGCAGCTGCTGAACGGTGTGTTGCTGCCCCCAAGTGGCGATTGAGCGGTTACGCCCTGGCCTGGGAAGGGTGCTGAAAGGGATAGGGGCGAAGGCGGGACTGGGGACTCCCTGGTCCCTGGGAAGCTCTGGGAAACCTTTCCAGAGGATGAGGCCCTCAGACCTGGGCCAAGGAAGGTGGTGAAGAGATTGCAGGTAGGGCCAGCTATGAGAATTACATGAAATCAGAACAATAACTGTTGGCTGCATATTATCATTATTATTACAGCTAGTACTTAGCGAGTAAGCACTTAGATGCCAGGCCCTGCTCCCAGCGCTTTACTTGTATTAACTCATTTAATTCTCCCAAAAGACATTTGATTTACTATCAGCCCCCTCTTTACAGGAATGGAATTTAAACCCAGGCTGTCAGGCTTCAGAGTCTGAGAGTCTTCAGAGTCTTCTTCACTATGAATTTAACACCCCCTGATCATTCTATTAAATTATCCCAAGATTGTAATTAGCACAGGAATCAACTCTAGATGGCCATTAGCAACGTGGATCTCTTTGAGTTGATGGTTATCAGCATGTGTTCCTGCCCAAGTTTATGATTTAGCCCTTCTCCAGGACAGAGTTTGCAATCAACATAGATTTATAATTAGCACATGAATCAGAACATGGGATCAGAATTCTGATTAGGGATCAGATTTCACAGGGATCCGATTTCTGATTAGCACTTGAATCAGCAGTGGTTTGTGTTAGGAACTGGAATCATAGGTTTCTGATTAGCACACGGGTCTGCACACAGGGATTATGTTCACACCTAGAAAGCTCTATCCCCTTTTGGTCCAGGTGACCCCCTCAAATGTTGCCCCCATCCCTTCCCTGAACCCCACCCCAACCGTCACCAACAGACAGACAGACTTGGTGGTTTCCTTGCCCCTCCCCTCTCTCCCATCTTGTTCATAATGAAATATCACAGCGACAAGCACAGGTTCAGAAATCATCTGTTCTCTTTCTGCCCTGTGAGGAGACACAATTCCAAAGCCTGGACTGTGTCTCATTCATGGGCATGTTCCCAGCATCGGGCCTGACACACAGTAAGGGCTCAATAAATGCTTAGAGAAAGAGTGTCGGACTCTCACCATTATCCTTCTGCAGTGACCTAAAGGTTTATCAAATCAAGTCAGATTCTCTTTGCCCTCAAAGGAGTCAAATTTGTGGTCACCCACCCCAAAGGCAGGGAACCAGGGTAGATGGGTGGGTGGGTGGTCAGGGTGGGGCTGGGAACTTCTCCCTGGAGCAGGACTCCATGTAGTGGATGGAAGGAGATCCCATAGCCTCTTTCTGCTGCTTCCCCTGAGGTTGTGGATCTGGTGGTGGTTGATGTTGGCTCCATTATAATCCACACTCTCCTTGCATAATTGTGACTGAGAGGGAGATGCCCAGCCTAGAAATATGTTCTCAGCCCCCCTTGCATCTCACCAATAAGATATGAGCAGAAGGGAAATCTGTAGAATGTCTCTTCTGGGCCAAGTTTTTTTAAGAAGCTGCTGAAACTTCTCCACTCTGTCTCCTCCCATTTGCCAGGTAGAAGCAGATAATTCTGAGCCCTAGGAAACAATGGAGGTGCAAGATTAACAAATCTGGCATGTGAATCAGCAGATGGAGGATAGCTGCCAACCACGCAGGACACCTGTGGCAAGAAATAAACTATTGTATTAAGTCACTGAGAATCAGGAGGTTACTTGTTACAGCAGCTGGCATTACATTCACTAACACACTGATCCTTCCTTTCTGGCCCCAGATATCAGTAAAGCTTGAGCCCTCCTTGTCATTCTGTAAAATGAGCCTCTAATCCCCAACTGTGGCATTCAGGCTTTCACAGAGCAGGTCTATACAGTGGCCCAAAGTCTCTTATGTTTGCTAGTTAAAAGTTTTTGGCATATTTCCCTCCATTCTTTGCACAAATGTAAACCTTTCCCCATGTTCTTATGGAAGTGTTCTTCCATGTTGATAGCTGGAAGTCATTAAAGCAGACCTTGAAAGTTGCATTCTGTCTTCCACGTAGTTCAGCAGAACCTCATGTAGAGGGTCTCCTGGTTGCTGTGTAGAAGTCAGTGCTTGTTTGGGACCCATCAATCTGATTTAGGGTGGTTAGAATGCGTGTACGGGGTGTGGGTGGAGAGGATGTACTCATCTCCTTGCCCCACTCTTTTGACCCCTCCACATGGGGGTGCACCTTCAGACATGATCTTTAAAGTGAGTCCCTAGTTCTCAGCTCTGATTCACGTGCTAATTACAAAGCCGAGCTAATTTCAATGAACCCCATTGACTGGACTTGGGTTGTACAAGGAGTTGGTAGGTACTAGTTGAGGATAAGGAGATACCACCTCCATCCCTTCTTGCGCTAACAACCCCCTGACTTGGAAGGGGCCTAAGTTTATTTATAAAGCGACCCCTTTTTGGCAGACAGACTGAATCCACTGGTTTGAATGTGTGTGTGCACACGTGCATGTGCATGTGTATGCCCATCCCATGGAGGTGTCTGATGTGACTCTCTGAATATGTTTCTGTGCATATGTGTGGGAGTGTGGCTCACACATGTGTACAAGAGAGAATCTGTGTGCAGAGTGTGTTTCTGCACATGTGACCTCTCACATGTCTGAGTGTGAGTCTGTGTGTGTGTTCTGGAAGTGTGTCTAAGTATTCACTTTTGTATGCCCCTGTATTTGAACATGAGTCCAGGTGATATAAGGTCCATGTGCCTGCTGTATCCATGTGTGTTCTGGTGAGCCTCTGAGTATGTGATGTGCATGTGTGAGTATGGATGTGTATTTTGGGGCAGATTCTGTGTGTGGATATGAGCAGTTCCCTTCCCCCCAAGTCTCCCTCAGCTCTCAGGCAATTTAACGTCATTCTTCCTGCTGTGGCTGTTTCCACTGCTTCTGTCCCCTTCTCCAGATGTTACAATTATGTAAATGCAGCAATTAAGCGGAGTCCCCCAAACGAGCATCCCACCAGGATCCCCTTCCAGGAGCCAATGAGAGATTACAGCACATGCAGACACATACACGGGGCTATTCAGGCACCACAGGGACCACCCCCCCCAGACTGCACATGCTGTGGCATGAGGGCACACAAACGGCATAGGGGGTCCCTTTGCCCACCTGCTTCATTCGTACTTATCCTTAAGATCTCAGTATAAAGACCCCCTCCTCCGGGAAGCCCTCCTGACTCCGGGGGTGGGGGAGTTCGGGGGAGAAGGGTTGGACTCTGCCTCTGGGGCCCACACCCTCTGTTTCCCCCATGAGAGCCCTGACCACTGTGGCCTGTGCTTTGTCATCAGAGCCCTTATTATTTTGCCCTGTGCTTCCCCTAGCACACTTTGACCACTATGGCCTGGACTTCTGTCATGACAGTCCCAATCTTTCTAGCCCAAGCTTCTCCCATCCCCACCCTGACCACGCCAGGCTGTCTAGAGATGTGTCTTACTCCCTTTTAGAATGTGAGCTCAGTGAAGCAGGACCTGACGCTGTCTTGGTCACACTTTTACTGCAGTGTCATCTAGCACACAACCATGCCCAGAAATCCAAAGTAAATGTTGAACTAGCATCTTGGCCTCTGCCTTTCTTTGTTGCCAAATCTCTCTTTATGTCTCTAAACATGTTAGTTTCTTTGGCACACATTTGGGGTGCTGCATGCCCTCAATTCACAAGGTTTTGGCATAGGTGTGGTGGACAGTACCACACACATTGCAGATGTTCCTGGTTTAGCCCAGTGGTTCTCAAAGTGTGGTCCCTGGACCAGCAGCATTACCATCACCTGGGAAGGTAGACACGCAAATCAGAAACTCTGGGAATGGGGCCTGGAGATCGATGGTTAACAAGTCCTCCAGTGATCCTGATGCAGCTAAAATGTGAGGACCTTGGGTCTAGTTCATGCAAGTCATCCCTCTGCTTTTCCACCTCAGATCTCAGATGGCTCTCAGTACCACCCCCTCTCACCAAGGGAGAGTCATCACCAAAGGGGGCAAGATTCTGTGGACAAATGCCCCAGCCTCTCTGAACTTTGCAGCAGGGAAGGAAGGGAAGGAACGACAATTCTGATGTGTTCTACAGGGTTCCTTAATGTTCCCCAGCAGAACTGAGCCCCAGTTGCCCGAAGAGGTAACCCATTCCTCGTCTGCACCTTCTATTAACTTTGTTCCTCCTCTGCCTCACTCTTCCCCCTCCCTCCCTTGCCTATTTCCTGGGGCCATACAACAAATCAGCCAGATCCTCTGAATTCTAATCCCAGTCTGTTTGGGATTGTCTCCAAGTATTTTCCTCTATCTCCCCCACCTCCACCACTTCTGCAGCGTCTCTGAAATTTCTCACCATCTTTCTGAGCTTCTGAGAAACCGTATCTGCTGTGCTGGGCCGGGAGCACTGATGAACTTTGCTAATGATTGGGAAAGGTGGACCCTAGAGCTGAGTTAATTTTAGCTGCAATTTTTCAATACACACAAGTGGAAGGAGCCAAAAGTCTGTTCTGAAACCTTCAGCAGAGCTAGGGATGCCAGGGTGGATGTGCATTCATGCCCCTGCCCCCAACAAGGTTACTTTACTCCTCTGCTCAGTGGGGGGTTCCCGGGGGTGGTTTTTGATCACGTCCCCCCAGGGTAGGGCCATGACCACAAGCCAAGGCTATGCCCCCTTCGGACGAGGGTTTGCAAGAGATTAAGTCCCCCACGCTGCTATAACCAATAGCAACGTTCCCAGGCGAGGCTTGTAGACCACGGCCCACATTCCTCTTCCTGCAACACCATCTGCCAGGAAACATGTGGAACCCACCCCCCTATCCTCT